CGTGATGGCGATTCTGACATTACGTACTTAGGTCAAATAAAATCTTTAAAAATATCCAATCTCTTATTAGACTTCTACAACACATGGCGGTATAATGATAAATCATAGAAAAAATATTTAGTAAGTTTACTGTTAGTCAATTTTTTAAACGCTTCAGTTTAAGGTAAATATGTTTCTGCCATTGTTCTTTTACAGGTAGACAACTGAACTAAACAACTAATTATTGGCATAACATTCAGTTTATATATCCACACACAGGTTTATCGGTGGCCAAAAAAGGCCGCACACATTGTGATCGTGAACATGGAGAGCTACATTTCATCATAACTTTTTAGTCACTTACAGTATTCTTACGAAAATTCGTATACATTTGAAGGTAGTTACAAGCAATAGAATAACGTTTGAAGTAAGTCTTTAGAGGTCTTATTTAAAGTGTTAGGACGTATTGAAGTGTTTTCATACTTACCTAAATAATTTTTAAACGGTCCATTATTTTTGATATTTTATTGTCGAACAAATTAAAACTAATCCTTAAGAAGTTATGTACAAAAGATGGTTACAATCCGCTTACCCGTTTCAGAGATCCAGCAAACCCACAAACGTTACTCCAGCAGGATTTCGAATAACTTCGCAGCCGAAGAAAATACAAATACCAAATAAGTTGTAACATTTACCTAGTCCAGATAACTAATTATTTACCTAAAATTTATTTCAATATTACAATTAAAAAAGAAAATGTCTGGCTGCGGTAACGTTTCAAACGTTACCCCAGCAGGAAATGTTTTTTTGAAATAACTAAAAAAGTTTAAGTGAAACAAAGTTAAAAATGTGCCTAACAATTACAGAAGGGGAGCAACTAATGATCTATAACGTTTAAATGACCATTTTCGACATTATTTTGCTGGGGTAACGCACACCAAGCCTGTGATGAATGCTCCAGAAGCGCAGGAGCCTCTTGGGGCATTCACAGGCTTCTAGGAGCGATTTTATACCAGGTATGGTGCTTGCCCTTTGTGTGGTCTCCCTAGCATTCTAGGATTACGTAATTGGCTGTTTCTTCTGCTTTCAGAAATCCTCTGCAAAGAGGACTGTCCGTCGCATTTTTTTTTATGGTATAAGGGGGCAAACGAGCCGACGGGTCACCTGATGGTAAGCAACTACCGCCGCCCTTGGACACCTGCAACTCAAAAGTCACAAGTGCGTTGCCGCCCTTGGAGTCCCTCCCTCTCGAGTCAGCGGAGGGGGGATTTGCCACTCACTCAGTGAAAGGTAACGAAATAATTGCCGAACACCGGTTTTCTGTGAGGCCGTGGTATCACTCCGGTCGAGCCGGCCCATTCGTGCCGAAGCATAGCTCCCACGGTATTAATGATGAATAGTTGTCTGTTCAGGGCTAGGCCTGTTATGGTACCTGCAACTATTCGGATATCTTGTCTGCTAAGATCGATCAATCTGCAAGTAAGTCGTGGTGTGACTTCAGTCGGCACCAGTTTGGACTGTCTGCAGTCGGGTCAGTTTTCCACCTTGTTGAGTGAAGTTTTGCAGTTATATGTTATGTGGTTGAGAAACACAACAAATACACATGTAAGGAAGTGCATGAAAACTGATTCTCCCTTGTTTATATGACCGACTTCGCGAGAGATCAACTTTATTCTAAAAAGCTTTTTACGTTTCTTATCTTTCGTTACATAATCTAAGTCGGGGGTTTTTAAATTACGTTTTACCCGTCGTAGGATTTTTCAACGTTTTTAATAATTGTCGGGGTCACCACTGGAGGAACGAGTGTCTTGTCCCTACAACACAAATGGAGGATCCTCCGACCAAGCGAGGTTATCATGCCTGGTGGGCCGCGACCCAACGGTTGATGTTGTAAATATGCTAATCGGCGAGTGAATTCATATCGGATTAACAATTCCCATTAAAGAGTTACTACGTAGTTCGGCGTGTCTTCGTTAGATGGCGGTGTAGTATGTTTTTACGTTTCATCGTATGTGGAAGTCGCTATAACTCATTGCAACGTAAATTGTCCTTCCTCAAACAATTTTGAGCCTAAGTACAAAATTATATATATTATTTATTATAAAGAAATTTATTTTGTTTTAATTTAACGAACATTCTAAATTCATTATGTATTTAAGATTTTACAGCATACTTATTGCTTTATTCATTTACACGACAGTGTAAGTAAGCAGACAATTATTTTCAATATTATTCTATAAGAAAAACTTTCACTAAGAGGTAAACATAGCAGTACAATTTTCACTCTTATCTGCGTCTCTGTACTCGATGCAAAGAGACTTTTTAGCTATCCAAACTAATTGTTTTTTTTGGAGCATCAACATTCATAGCAGAAAAACCACCTGTAAAATGTTGCCCGGCCCATTAATCGAACCCACTAAGGCAGCGTTTTTCAAGTACCACCAGTAAGTTTCAGTACCAGCTAGTATTAAATAAAAAGATAAAAATATTCACAATGTCAAAATATTAAAAATAATATTAATGTATTCTATCTCATTCTCTCGCCGACTTAATCCAATACATTTATGTGTTTGTTTCTGTATCACGACGCATTTTCGTTTCATCGAGTTTCAAATCGTTTCAGTTCAAAAGTTTCACTTAAAAAATAATGCAGTGCAATAAAAAATAACTTAAAAATCAGATGATAATATCTTTTTTCGACGACTTTCCCAAATAAAAATTGTTGTACACTTTTAACTTCAGCCTATTGGTGTCCACTGCTGAACGAAGGCCTCCCCCAAAGCGCCAACCATCCCGGTTTTGGGCAGTCCGCATCCAACCACTGCCAGCCATTTTCCTCAAGTAATCAGTCCATCGTGCCACAGGGCCGTCGGAGTTTTTGTCAGACTCTGTAGTAAAACTTTTGAATAATGCACTTTTGCGTGCTTCACCAGCACAATTATATTATTTTTACTTTTAGGTAAATTCTGACAACCCTTTTGGGTTTATAAAAAGAAATGAATTTTTAATTTTTCTATGAAGCAGACTATTTTAAAATATGACACTGATATTTGTTAAATAAAATAGTTATGTTATGACCAACAATCACTTGTCAATCACAATCAACACCTAAATGAGGGTACAATCTAAGCGCAGTCGGCCCCCGCCCGAAGAAGTACGCGAGGTGCGCGAAGCCGCTCGTCGAGCCACGATGGCTCGTTGGTCGTCACGGCTGGAGGCTCCACGTGTTGGTATTGCTGCCGTGGAGGCGCTCCAGCCGGTCATCGTTAAATGGTCAGGGCGGCAGCACGGGACCCTTTCCTTCCGACTGACGCAGGTCCTTTCAGGGCACGGCTGCTTCGGGAAGTACCTGAACTCGGTTGCTAGGAGGGAACTGAGTCCTGCCTGTCACCACTGCGATTGCAGTGAGGACTCGGCTCAGCACACGCTAACAATTTGCCCGGCTTGGGCGTCGCAGCGTCGGGTCCTCACTGCAGTCATCGGGGGAGATCTCTCACTACCGGCCATGGAGCGTATGACGGCCGGGGATAGTTGTTTTACGGCGGTCGCATTCTTTTGCGAAAACGTTATCTCGCAGAAGGAAGCGGCGGAGAGGGCTCGGGAGGATAATTTCCACTCGGAACCAATTCGACGCTGATGAACCGGCGCCGGAGCCGCGCTTACCAGCGCCTCATGCCGCCCTGAGTGTGGCCGCGGGTGGACGGGACGGGTTTTCCCCTCCACCCGTCATAACGGCCAGCCGCGAGGAGGCGACGTCCGCGTGTGCCGGACGTCTCCTAAATAGAGAATATACCCGAAGGTGGTGCCCGCGCCGTTATGGGCAGGCGCTAGGAGGGGTCCGGATGTCTTAATAACAGCAATTCCCGGATCCCCCCTCCTTTTACAGGCGCAGAGTGGCACGCCGTGTGGTTTTAGTCGGTCAGATTCCGACATTCTTCTTTACGTGTGGCCCTCGGCCACACGTAAAGAAACAGGGCACAATACCTGAGAGTGGAAACCCCCTCAGGTGTTAGATTATTCGTTATTAGTGGTCTGGCTTGGTTACCAGTGGTAACCCAATCCTGTGAACGTGCACCTATAATTTTTATGTAGATATTTAGTTAGACCTCGACTATGTGTACAGGAGACGGTGTGCGTTTTTTAGTATTTTCGAGGCCGACATAACCACCGGTGGGTGGTATCCGAGGGGATTCTCGCACAAAAAAAAAGGTAAGTTAGATACTTAAGAGCAGGGAAGTTCATGCTCTTAAGTATCTAACTTACCTTTTTTTTACCTCCATGTCGTCTCCTCATCATCAACAGCCTTTAATAGTCCACTGCTGGACATCGGCCTTCTTCTTAGAAATGAGGTTTTGGCCTACTGTACCACGCTGGCCAGACGGATTGGTACAGGATTAGTTTCAAGTTTTCTTTCTCTTTGCAGTGCTGTTGTCCTGCGTAGTTTGCTCCCTTAGTCGGCTCTTACGACACCCACGGGATGAATAGGGGTGGTGATACTCTGTATTCTAAATCCGTCACCACACGGTATTTATGTCCCGCACAACCAATCTGTGGAACGGGTTATCGTCTGCGGTATTTTCGGACCGATACGACCTTCAAACCTTCAAGAAAAGAGCGTACTCCTTCCTAAAAGGCCGGCAACGCGTTTGTGACTCCTGTGTTGCTCCTCCTGTGTTCATGGGCGGCGATAGTCACTTTCCATCAGGTGACCCGTCTGCTCGTCTGCCCCCTCTAACATAAAAAAAAACACGGACATGTCTAGATATTTAAAACGTTTTCGTGCACTTATTCGGCTCTGATCCCAAGAACTATTTACAAACCAATAAACAACATGTTTAACAGTTATATTGCAAACTTAGAGTCGGTATCTATGTAATTATTCACAAACTCTATGTCCATAGATTCTTAAAATACTGATCTGAGAATTTATGTAGAACCATCTTGAAACTGTCAAACAATTTATTAAAGCCTGACTATTACGCTAATATATAGTTGAAACTTGAATTAATACCTAAATATAAATGAGTGAGCAAAAAGCGGAAAATGAAGCAGATATTGATGGTGGTATGACATATTTGGTTACAAATACATAATATTGAAACTTCATTCATTACAAATTGTAATTGAATACATTTTTAGATACCTATGTCATGGTCCGCGATGGTATACCTATATCTATCTCCTAAGGATAAACCACAAATCAACCATTTTTATCTTTTAGATTCAAAAGAAAATATGGTTTATTTACGAAGCTATTTTAAAGAATACATTATTATTCCTTATCAAATTAAATACGTTAGATACTTTGTGCATTTAATGTAGTAGAGGTAGAAATGCTCTTGACAGCATATCATTAAAATGAATATCATTAAATTAAAGATATGATATCGCCGTGCCGGGTGGCAACGACCGGAAGGCCAAGAACGGAGCGGAATAATTCCTGGCGATACGCCTCGGTTTCGCACGGGTACAATGTAGATGCGACTAATACTACTAACGTGGTGGCAGTGTGGAGTAATAAATTATACTATTATTATGATAGGACTATACCACAGGACATCTTTATATGAAATATAAATAGGCCCGGGACGATAAAAGATAAAAATGGTTACTGTGGCTTATCCATTTACCAGCGCGGTGTTTTTTAACCAACTTCAAAAAGAAGGAGGCTCTATGTTCACTGATTACTCCGTCAATTGTACCAGTATACCGGTTTCCAAAATTATTTTTTATTAGAAAGAGCATAGTCCTGAGGTAATCTCATTGTCACGAAATCATTATTTGATGTAGGGATCCCAGGGAAATAGACCTTTAGGGACCATAGCAAAGGCTGAGTTTATTCTTTCGTAATTGTTTGTTTTGTTATTGTTTGTGATATTCTTTAGTTTAGCAAAGTGTTTCTTTTCTTTTCTCTTTTATGTTATATCTCTATTTTATTTTGTTGTGTGTGTGTTGTGGCGTATTTTCTTTCTTTCTTTAAACTCTCAAATTTTATAGGCACGTATTGTGTTTCATATATTTTCTAAAGCTATTCTAGTATTTGCACCTGATAGTAACTATCCCGTGTTCATAAGCTGGTGATGGAAGGTACAACGCCTGAACGGTTAGGAGCTGGAGGATAGTACTTGAAATAACATATGTATGTTTAGACTTTTAGTTGTATTCATTCAAGTCATTCAGGTGAGCTGATGGTAAGGTAAGGTCCTTAACGGTTAGGAGTTAGAAGATACTATAAGATGACGACATAGTAACCTGTAATGTATAGGAAATAAAAGACATGCAAAGCTGAGGGTTGGATAAGCAACCTGCACTACATACCTAGCTTGCCTTAGTGCAAATTAGAACACTTAATTATATATTTTTTTTACTTTTGTAATTTCTTGTTTGTTCAGGATCAATGCGCCTTTCGCCGTCTCTTATAGCTACCAAGCCTGCCAAACCTCTGTTCTTTGCGCGTAAAGCATTTCAAAGTCGGCGCAGCGAAACTGATTATGATGAATATCTTATGGCTATGAAACGAGTTCACTATGGACATTCTGACAAGTTGGAGTCACCAGTTGAAATATTATCACCCAGAGCTCGTTACCGAAAACAAGAATCAGAGAAACGGGAGTCGTATGTATTGTTTAATTATTGGCATGATACATTATATTATAGCAATTATGAGAAACTAGGTTTTGCCCGCGGATCCGCCCGCGTGTATGTTCGTTATCGCGGGAAAATGTAGCTTACGTTCTTCCCTACAACTCAAACTAACTCCATAGCAAATTTTATTTAAATCGGTTCAGCGGTTACTGATTCCCCATACAAACTTCCAACCCCCTTTTCACCCCACTAACGGATGATTTATGGGATAAAAACTATCCTATGTCCTTTCCCGAGACTAACTTACTATTTCTAAGTATACCAAATTTCATCTAAATCGGTTCAGCGATTGAGGCGTGAAGAGTAACAGACAGAAAGACACAGTTTCGTCTTTATAATATTAGTATGGGTATGGATAGTTAAGTGGGAGAGCCATATTGGTAGGCTCGACCGGAGCGATACTACGGCCACACAAAAACTTGGTGTTAAGTTAAATATTATTTCGTTCCTTATCATATCACCAAGTGAGTAAGATTACAAGTGATGAGAATCATTTTACTTTCCCTAATTATGGGGGCTCAAAGAGTAGCAATGCCGAGTGTGTTGTCTCTAGAGTTGCAGCTGTCCATCGTCTTTGGTAGTCACGGGAGACCCGTCTATTTGCAATGATATTTTAAGGAAGATACGTCACATTCATACTGCACTCACAAAATATTTGTTCCGTAACACTAAATACCTCTATGAATGCATTTTAGAACAAACCATACGCTCCAAAGGCGATAGGAATTAGGGAGACATAAGAGTGAAAGAGACAGCTATTTGTAATCAGCACAGCGACAGAAGGCATTTTATGATATATTTTTTAATTAATTAGTACGTGCGCGCGCTTTTTGTGGTCCTAATTAGGACCCTCACGTTTTGTTTGTCGGTTGCGTATCTACCTCTTGTATCTATGTATAAAATATCATTGTCTGTTTGTATAAATATTATACCATAAAAAAACGAATCCTAGGCTGAAGTAGTATTCTCGAAACAGATCATAACTTTCTATTTCTGTCCTTTGTCGTAAGATGTCTCTGGACGTTTTAACAACTCTAGTAGGTAGATACTAGAGGAATACAAACTTGATATAAATAGTGCTGTAAATTGTAAAATTGCATATTGCCGTAGAAACTCAGAGATGATGACTATTATTTATTGACATTAATTTTTCTGCAAACTTGAGACCATGTGAATAATAGCACTTCAGAAGACAGCATCAATTAAGAGGTAATGGTAGTTAATGAATGATGAAAGTAAAGCTGTTTTATCTAGGAACGACGAAAAGGTGGTTCACAGTTCTGTACAAGAGACAACCTGTATTGGCGTCATAGCGTCCATGGTACCCGACGAAATTATTTACAAATATCAGGACTACTCTATAAGGACTTATGAAACCGCTCTTATGTTTATTGATATAACTGGTGGGTATATTATTTAGTCATTTTGTATTAACTTTAATGAAGGTAATGGGATCTTGCTATTCGGTATACCTACTTTTCATTCAGTATACTTGTTTTCGTAGATTCGAATTGTAAATAGAAAATAAAAAGATGAAAATGATATAGATTTTGAACTCATTAAACATGTTAAAAACTAGCATATTCATCCTTATTGCTTTGGAATTGTTAAATTGGCAAATCATTTACAGTATCTTTATTGGGCTCTAAACCGTTGATTGACAATAAATTGAAGTAGATGTTTTATCAAATATAAACATCAATTAGTAACTGAAAATAAAAAGAAAATTAATGTAATTATGGCTATCTGCCGATATGTAAACTTTATGAACCTCGAATATTGCATGTTCTGCATTGCATCTATGTATATTGGTATTTAATTTATCTGAAAAACTTATTTGGAAATGAATTGTCATTAGTTATGAGTTATACAGTGATAAAGAATAGAGGAAGAATAGAGATGGTAATGACAATAATTAACTAATTTGTCCAGAAATTATGTCCAATGTCTTGTAAATAAATAGGTAGGTACAACAATTTTCAATTATTTTTCTGTATTTGAACTGACTGTAACGAGATTGGATTACCTACCTTTCGTACAGCACCTAAATAATATCGTAGACACTAAATAAAGTGGCACTTGCAGGTTTTACCAACTTATGTGAAAGATATACGACTTCTTCAGGACGTGGTGGGCCTTCAAAGCTGACTCAAGTCCTAAACTCTTATATAGGAGCCATGGTTCAAGAAATACTGACTCATAACGGAGACGTATTAAAGTTTTCCGGCGATGCCTTTTTAATTATGTGGAAAAGAACGCCTAAGTTGACAATGCAAGATGTTGTTCACAATGCTATTGATTGTGGTTTAATTATACAAAAGAATTATGGATTATTCCGCACCGATGTTGATGTTGTTCTGAAGGGTAAGATGTTTTTTAAAAAGCCAGTCAATCGGTCCTCTCCAATTATAACCAAGTCTTACCAACCTGTCTGTTGGTAGGTAGGTACTTGGTTATAATACCTAGACGGCACCGAAGAAACGATCATAAAATAATCGAGTTCTCCAAAAGTTATACATGTTTATATCTTAAATCAAAAATCTTACATCATATAAATAATTATGAAGAACTTATTCCTTAATTGCATCTAATAGCGACGAATCATTTAGAAGTTTGTCCGGATACCGGACATTTTACCAGCCTTGAAGTTTGGCCTTTTCTTGCAATCTTATGCTTATAGGATAAACGATAAAACAACATAAAATACGAACAAACAAACATTAGATATGATATAATTTTACAATCAGGAGTGAATTTAGTTTTCTTTGTGGTGCTGTTGTCTTTTGCTACTTTGTTTACAAAAAACGATAGCCAATAGGTACCTACCTAATGGCAGTCATTTTGTGTGATGTTGAAACACACCCTGAGAAGTTAGGTATTTTTACTATAATAGTCGATAAGAATATGAAATTGACTAAGTATTCATAGCTTGAGAAACAAAATTAACACACAAAAAACTTCATTAATAAAACAAAACTGCATTATGCCTATATGCCTGAAAGGTGCCGCGTTCAATTTGTATCTACTATTTTTATTTTATTTTTAATCGGTAAACAAGTACCTACAGATATTTTAAGACAAAGGTAAAAAAAATATTTATGACTAGTAGGTAGTTTATTAAGTTTTTCTTTCTTTATTCAGTTCACACCACACATCAACAGCCTTTAACAGTCCCCTGCTGGACATAAGCCTCTCCTCAGAAATTAGGTTTTGGCCTACTATACCACGCTGGCCAGACGGGTTGGTATAGGGTTTGTATCAAGTTTTCCTTCTCTCTGCAGTGCTCTTGTTCTGCGTAGTTTTTTCCCTTAGTCGTCTCTTACGACACCCACAGGATTAATAGGGGTGGTGACACTCTGTATTCTTAATCCGTCACACAATTAGCGATTTCATTATCAATAACGTTATTATTTAAGTCAAATTGTCAAGTAATTTGGGGTATCATTGGACCAGTCTTTGATTACCCAAAAAAATATTGAAACATTTCATTTAAAATTTATTTAGTTATTCATTAAGCTATTTGTATACACGTGTTACTGGGTGTCAGGCTTGGCACTATAGAGGTATAAACGTAGAGTGAACAAGGAACCCCAAACTTGCAATATGCAATATAGGCAACGAGAGAGATGGATAATAGATAGTTTAGACCTTCGTATCTTTCTAGTCGAGCTCTGTGGTTGGCTGGGGAATATGAGGGGTTAATAAGTAGCCAATCGCAGCTTAAACTGAACTAGGTAAAGACCTTTTATTTTACTCGTGGCCGTCACCCCACCGGGGATTGCGGTGGGGCGGTGTTGGAATCGAACCGACTAAAAAAACACGATGTGCCTTTCTGTGCCTGAAATAGGAGGGATCCGGGAACAGCTATTATTCCTTCACTTCTCACAACCTTCTGTAAAACTCTATTTAGACGACGTTCGGCATACGCGGACGTCGCCTCTTTGCGGCTGGCCATTGTAGCGGATGGAGGGGAAAACTCGTCCCGTCCACCTGCTACACTCAGGCGCTGGAATGCGTGCCTCCGCCTCCTAGTTCATCGGCGCCAGATTAGTTCCGAGTGGAGGTCATCCTTCCGGGCCCTCTCCGCCGCCGAAGACGTCGCAGAAGGATGCGACCGCGATCGAGAGATCCTCTCCGATGACTGCAATGAGGACCCAACGCTGCGACGCAAATTGCCAGTAGCAGAGACGAATCTACACTGAAATTGCAGTGGTGACAGGCGGGACACAATTCCCTCCTAGCGACCGAGTGCAGTTACTTCTTGAAGCAGCCGTGCCCGGAAAGGACCTGCGTCAGCCGGAAGGAAAGGGTACCGTGCTACCACCCTGCCCAATCGCACCCTTCACGGTGGCAAAGCCAGCACGTGGAGCCTCCAGCCGGGACGACCAACGAGCCATCATGGCTCGGCGAGCAACCTCGCGCCACTCTCGTGCCTCTTCAGGCGGGGGACGACTGCCACTACCCGGAACTCAGCCTTCCGCCAATATACGCCGAGACTCCCCTGGTGGCCAGGCGGGGAACTAGCTAAAGACCTAAGATAAACTCCGTTTAGCTCTGTTTAGCTAAACCCCGTTTTTAGAGAATTATGGGGCATCTATATCCACTTACAGGCGGCTGTATCCCGTGTTCTCTCTATGTTTATATCTCTATGCTTGGCACCGACTTCAAACAAATCAGTACCTAGTTAGTGCCTTTATAATATTAGGTTTATAATATTATGAAATTGCCATTTTGTATGCAATAAGTGAAAGTACTTATTTTTTCAAACTTTTTTATTTCTGTTATTCGAAGTAATCACCCATGCAATCGACGCATCTTTGCCAACGCATTGGCAGTTTATTGATGCCCTTCTTGTAAAAATCAGCTGGACGGGAGGCAACAAATTCTTCAAAGGCATTTTGTACTGCCTCTCGGGAATTGAATTTTTTACCCACTAAAAAGTGGTCTAACTTTTGGAAAAAGTAATAGTCGGTAGGTGCAAGGTCTGGTGAGTATGGCGGATGAGGGAGAGCTTCCAACCCCAGCTCTTGCAGCTTGGAGACTGTCTGTTGCGCAGTATGGGGTCGCGCGTTGTCGTGAAGGAGCAGTGGGGACGACCGGCCGCCACGAAGTCGGATGGTGTTACACCACAAAATCGCATTCGCCGCATTCGCAAAGTTTTGAAAATGTCATATGTAAACACAGAGCGGACTGTGATCCTTGTTGGATTTGCACCGGTACTTTTTTTTTTTTTTTTTTTAACGTGTGGAAATCCCCTCGGACCGTCACCCCTCCGGGGTTTGCGGCAGGGTGGTGTGTCGGACTCGGACCGACTAAAACCACACGGTGTGCCACTCTGCGCCTGTAACAGGAGGGATCCGGGAACAGCTGTTGTTAAGACATCCGGACCCCTCCTAGCGCCAGCCCGCTCCTGGTGCGGGCTCCGACTCAATATATTTTCCTCTCCTTAGGCGACGTCCGGCACACGCGGACGCCGCCCCCTCGCGGCTGGCCAAACTAATGCGGGTGGAGGGGAAACCCACCCCGTCCACCCGCGGCCACACTCAGGGCGGCATGAGGCTGTGATAGGCGGGCCTCCGCCGCCCGGTTCGCCGGCGGCGGATCGGGTCCGAGTGGAGGTCGTCCTCCCGGGCCCTCTCCGCCGCCTCCTTCCGCGAGATTACTACCTCGCAGAAGGTTGCGACCGCGGTAAAACAACTGTCGCTACCGGCCATGGAGCGTACTACGGCCGGTAGCGAGAGATCCACTCCGATGACTGCAGTGAGGGCCCGGCGCTGCGCCGCCCATGCGGGGCAGACCGCCAGCGTGTGCTGGGCCGAGTCCTCACTGCAGTCGCAGTGGTGGCAGGCGGGACTCAGTTCCCTCCTAGCGACCGAGTGCAGGTACTTTCCGAAGCAACCGTGCCCGGAAAGCACCTGCGTCAGCCGGAAGGAAAGGGTCCCGTGCTGCCGCCCTGCCCACTCGGCGATGACCGGCTGGAGAGCCTCAACGGCGGCGAAGCCAGCGCGTGGAGTCCCCAGCCGGAACGACCAACGAGCCATCGTGGCTCGGCGAGCGGCTTCGCGCCACTCGCGCACATCCTCGGGCGGAGGGCGAAATCCGCTCTCCGCCCGGGAGTCAGCCACTCGCCCATAAACTTCGGCGAGCACTTCCGCCTCCAAATCCCACGGGGGAGTTCCGGCCAACGCGCATGCCAGCTCCGTCGAAACGGTGCGGTAACCGCGTATGGCTCTGACCGCCATTACCCTCTGAGGGCGCCAGAGGCGTACCCTATTCTGGGCGGTCAGAGCCGCCGCCCACACCGGTGCACCGTACAGTGCCATTGACCGGACAACCCCCGTGTACAGCCGTCTTGTCGCGACGCTGGGTCCACCCATATTGGGCAAAAGTCGCCCTAGGGCAGACGCAGCGCCGACCAGCTTTGGAGCAAGCTGTCGGAAGTGCTCGTCGAAGAGCCACCTTCCGTCGAGGATCAGGCCCAGATATTTCATCTGGGCCGGAACCGGTACGAGGACCGAGTTGACCACGATTGAGGCGCCAGGGGGTGGACCACGACGGGGCCCATGAAATAACAGGGCCTCCGTCTAATCTAGGGCCACCCGTAAGCCCAGCGCCTCAATGCGCCCGACCACCAGGGAGACTCCCCCTGTGGCCAGGCGCGCCGCCTCTTGGAAGTTTGCCCCCCGGACTGTCACCAGGGTATCGTCTGCGTAACAGATTACACCCAGCCCGGGGGGGAAATCGGCGCGAAGGGCCCAGTCGTACCCTATGTTCCACAAGAGGGGACCAAGAACAGACCCCTGTGGAACACCGCACGACATGGGCCGACACCTCAGATTACTTTCTCGGTCCTCGTACACGACGGTACGCTCCTCTAAATAGTCTGCCACTAGCCGCCTCAGGTACTTTGGCACCCCATGATAGTGGAGTGCTGCCCTGATTCAGCTGAATGGCAGACTATTGAATGCGTTGGCAATGTCCAGTGACACCGCCAACAGCACGCCGCCACAGCTCACGGCCTCTTCGGTCACGGCCCTCAGGCGCAACACGGCGTCGACTGTCGAACGCCCCGCCCGAAAACCAAATTGGTCGTCCGACAGATCGGGGACAAGCGAATCTACACTGAAATTGCATGGTGACAGGGGGGGACACAATTCCCTCCTAGCACCGAGGCAGTTACTTCTTGAACGCCGTCCCCGGAAAGGACCTGCTCGCCGGAAGGAAAGGGGTACCGTGCTACCACCCTCCCCAATCGCACCCTTCACGGGGGCAAAGCCACAGGGAGCCTCCACCCGGGGGCACCAACGAGCCATCATGGCTCGGCGAGCAACCTCGCCCACTCTCTGCCTCTTCAGGCGGGGGACGACTGCCACTACCCGGAACTCAGCCTTCCCCCAAATATACCCCGAGACCCCCCTGGTGGCCAGGCGGGGAACTAGCAAAGACCTAAGATAAACTCCGTTTAGCTCTGTTTTGCTAACCCCGTTTTTAAGAAATTTGGGGGTCTATTCCACTTAACAGGCGCTGTACCCGTGTTTCTCTTATGTTTATACTCATGCTTGGGACCGACTTCAACAAAAACATACCTATTTTGTGCCTTTTTAAATTGGTTTATAAAATTATGAAAATTTTCCCTTTTGTATGCAAAAATGAAAGTACTTATTTTTTCAAAAATTTTTTATTCTTTATTCGAAGTAAACCCCATCAACGACGCTCTTTTCCAACGCATTGGGATTTATTTTGGCCTTCTTGTAAAAATCACTGCGGGGGCAAAAATTCTTCAAAGGGATTTTGTCTGCCCCTCGGGAAAATTTAAAATTTTTTCCCCCTAAAAATGGGCTAACTTTTGGGAAAAAGTAATAGTCGGTGGTGCAAGTCGGGGAGTATGGCGATGAGGGGGGAGCTTCCAACCCAGCTCTTGCAGCTTGGGGACTGTCTGTTGCGCAGTATGGGGCGCGCGTTTTTCGTGAAGGACGTGGGGGGGACCGGGCCGCCCGAAGTCGGATGGTGTTCACCAAAAATCGCATTTGCCGCATTCGCAAATTTTTTAAAAAGTCATATGTAACACAGACGGACTGTGATCCTTGTTGGATTTGCAACCCTACTTCACCTCGCAGAGGTGCCGGACGATGCGGGCAGAAAGAACCCTCTCAAACAATTTACCCGCCTCGTCCAGCAGCACGATGGGCCTATAGGCCGCGACCGAATCGGCAGGCCGTCCCGGCTTCCTCAATAGGACCAGCTTCCCGCTCTTCCAGCACTCAGGGAAGCGTCCCGACGCCAAGCTAGCGTCGAACACCTCCCCGAGGCGGTCTGCTATGTGGTTGAGGGCCAGGGCCAGCACTCGGGCCGGTACCCCGTCTGGCCCAGGGGCGGTGTTCTTGGAACGGATCCGTAGAACAGCCGCCCCTACCTCCGAATCCCGGACGGGCGGAACATTATCCTCCCCGTGCTCCCCGTCGTCTCCGGCCAAGGAGGCCATCGCTGGGGGAGTGTGTTCCGCTCGTTGTGGGAAAAGGCCCTCAACCACTTCTCGCAGGAAGCTGGGCTGGAGAGTCTCCGTAAGGGGGGGGGCCCGACGCGCGGAGCTTTTGTCGCACCGCGCGGTAAGGGCGACCCCAGGGGTCACGATTAAGACCCTCCAGCATCTCCTGTCTTTTTTCTTCTTTGGCGCGGCTAATGGCCAGCTTCAGAGTTTTCCGCGCCTGTCGGTACTCCTCATGAAGCCGGTCCTCCTCACCGTCTCCACGGTGACGCCGCCGACTGCGCGTGTAGGACCTCCGGGCACGTGTACAGGCCGCACGTAGGTCCGCCAGCTCCTGGGACCACCAGTAGACCTCCTTCCTTGGAGGCCGACGACCTCGAATGCGGGGCATGGCCGCATCGCATACATGCGTAATCGCATCGCGAAAGCGACCAGCCCCCACGTCGACCTCCTCGATCGGAGCCTGAGGAGACAGCCACGAGTGAATTATGGCTGCCTCCTCAAGTAGGTCCCGGTTCAGTCTGGCAACAGCCCACCGCGGAAAGCGGGATAAACGCCGCGCCACGTGACCCCTACTGGAGTCCTGGGTCCGGGAGAGCTCAAATCGGATATACAGGTGATCCGAGAGCGTCTCAACCTCTTCCAGGACACGCCAGTTCCTTACTCGTGCGGCGAGGGCAGGGGTAGCGAACGAGAGGTCCACTATCGACCCCCCCTGCTGTCGCACGCACGTGTTGGTGGAGCCTCTGTTGAGAAGACAGAGGCCCACCGAGGCCGCCCACTCCTCTACGGCCTCGCCCCTTGCGTCCGTCCTGGGGGAACCCCACGCAATGGACTTTGCGTTGAAGTCCCCCAGCACAAGGACGTGCCCAGACGCTAGTCGCCGTATCGAGGTCTCCAAGCTGGTTAGGAAAACCTCGAAGTCGTTCAAACTCCGGTTGGGGGAGAAATAAACACCATATATGGTGATCCCCCCCCACTCGACGGCAACATATCCAGTGCCCTTGTCTCTTAGCGACAAGGGCGGGGAATGAGCCGTCGTGGAACCGACGACTGCCACGGAGCCGTCCCGGTCACCCATCCAGTTTGGACGGGGAGGGACAGAATAGGGCTCCGCGACTACGGCAACACCTATGGACCACTGTGCCATGGTTTGCAGGAAGAGATCCTGCGCCGCGGCACAGTGGTTCAGGTTCGTCTGGACCAGGAGGTTGGAGACTTGATCCATTACTGGATCGTCTCTACAACCTCCTCCATGGGCGACGACGTCGACGCAATATTGACGTCGGGGGTAGCCTGGGTCGACTGGCTAGCCCCTGACGTCTGCCGAGAACTGCGGGGAGGCTTGCAGCCTCTCTGCCCCATCTGGTGATTGGCGGGCTTATTACCCGCCGCACACGCTGGGCAGTGAGGGGCGGCAGAGCATTCTGCCGCCTTATGCCCCGGTTGACCGCAGCGGAAACACAGTCCGCCGCAGTCGAAACAGCTATCGCACTTGACGCGCGTGTGTCCCGTGGCCAGGCATTTAAAACACCTCATCGGTCTCGCCGCCAGGACTGTGATCCTGGCGCTCACGAAACCGATGAGCAGCCTGCCGGCGTCGGCCAATACTTTGGCCGACGCTACGGGACAGCTGACCCACACGGCGCCAAGCCCTCCTGGACCGGGGCGGATGGTGCCGACCCTGAAGTTGTCCGCACTGCACCCCGTCTTCTCCCGGATTACAGCGCGGACATCTTCGGCCGTCACTGAGTCGTCCAGGCCCGAGATGCGCAGTTCCGCGCACTTGGTAGGCCTGGCGACCCTGACACCATCTGTGGCCGCAAATATTCCCCGCAGCCTCTCGGCAAAGGAGTCCGCCGTCTTTGCGCCTTCAGCCCCAGGGAACTCGAGTACTCGAGCTCCCGTCTGGGCGAGGCGCATCCTGACCCCCACCGTCCCAAAATCGGTGGCGAGGCTGTCCCGGGCCTTTTTGAAGACGGCCGCGTAGGACAGCCCGCCGTCAGCCGGTACTTGTTCAAAGGATTAGTGAGTGAATAGTATTTAGTAATAACGGTATTTTTGTAATAAACTGTTCATGTAACGGTGCACTAGTTTCTTTTTAATTTTCCCGAATACTATAACTAAGTTCTTACTGATAAATGAATAAAATTAAGAATTATTTTCACATGGATTTGTGTGCACAATATAGCGCGTGGTCACTGTTCAGCCGATTGGCTGAGGTCTGACGATGTTTTCGGGGACTTTATAAGTAGGTTATTGGAGCCTCTGCAACTTCTGAGGGAAAACCATGTGGTTAGTGGTTGGTCCTGGCAAGGTCATTGTCGAATCACACACTGCCGAAACCTCCATGGCTCATCAACCTATGGGAGTTCCGACAGTTTGTATTGGACGATCGCGTTTGATTGAAAATTACTGATACATACTTATATAATACACACATATATATCATCATCATCATCATCATCCTTTAATAGTACAGTGTTGGACATAGGCCTCCTTAGAAAGGAAGTTTTGATCTACTATACCACGCTGGCCAGACGGGTTCGTAGTGCTGTTGTCCTGCAGAGTTGGCTCCCTAAGTCGGCTCATAACAAATGATAGTGCTCATCACACAATTATTTATCCTCGGTGGGTATCGAACCCACGACCTCCAGCTTAGCAGTCAAGGCCACTAACTACTAGACCAACAGGCCAACCAACAAGTTAATTTATTATGTATTTATATTCTTAAAACAGTCAAAGTGGCTATCTCAGCCGGCCGTTCCCATTTCGCAATAATCGGCGATGAGAACCAAACACAGTCCAGTTTCGTGATCGTGGGCCAGCCGGTGTGGGACGTGAAGATGGCGCAGTACATGACTACTCCAGGAGATGTATTAACGTCAGCCAGTGCTTGGATGTATGTCAACGAGTCTGAGTATTGTACACAACCCTGTGGAGACGGAAGGCATACCAGGGTGGGTTATACTGCGCTCCTATTTCAGTCATGAGTTTTATTGTTCTATCGTATTTTTCAGCAAAACAGTAGCTCTTTTGGCACTTTAACAGTTGCACTAAGTGCTACCAAATGTCAAAACTAAAACAATACAGTTACAGTGCAATTTTAGTAGAAGAAGTATTGTTTATATTTACAATAGTTACGTGTATTTTTTATTGAATGTTATTCATGACGATTTATTAAAAAAATAATTAAACGAAGGATGTTGACAGGTTTTGGGAGTCGGTGCTTCTTGGAAAAGAGTAGAGAAGCTAACTATTAATGAAATTAAAGGTAAATGTATAGAAGAATAGAATTTTTCTATATTTTTTTTCTTATTTTTTCGATTAAATTGTATTAACACAATTTAGAAGTGTCTTACATAAGATTTTACGAATACGTGTATCTTTTTTGTTAGACAAATCCCGCATTAGGAATATATCCTGTGTCTCGGAGGACTGTGTGTGTTTGTTTACAAACATTCATGAAACGGACACAAAGAACACCCATACTCAGAACAACAATTTTTGGATTACACAAAGTGTCGTCAGTCACACAAACACTAGTACTAATGACTGCACGGATGGCGTACCTAGTGGTTTAAGCGGTCTCCACACTGCTTCCTACTGCGCTGAGTGTTGTGGATTCGATCCCTACATGGGACACCACTTTGTGTAATCCATAAATTGTTGTTCTGAGTCTGGCTGTTCTTTGTGTCCGTTTCATGTATGTCTGTAAAGTCCCTCGCGACGCAGGATATATTCCTAGTGCGGGAGTTGTCTTTAAAAAAGAGAAAGAGAAGAGAAGAGTACTTATTGAATAGAGTGCCTAAACTGTAATTTTTGTCTCTCTGTCTATCCGTCAATCTGAATTTTGACTACATAGTTTTATTTCGAAAGTCAAAATGTTGATCGTAATAATTGAACACTTAGATCCTATGATTAATTTTATTGTAGAGACAAAACGCTATGAACACGCGCTGCTTTTTGATTCGAAAATAAGATTGGAAGGTGGCAAATTAGAAAAGCAACGCTTGTATGAGAAATTTTAGTGTTTAGATAACTAAAATCTTGAATAAGAAACATTATTTACTCTTTATCACGATTGTTACCTTGTAAATATAATATAAGGTCGTCGACTAATTTGTACTTATCGCCTGCTGAAAAATTAATTAAAATGACAGAGTATACTCCTTTCTCCATACATATCACATACATATTTATAGTAGAAACACACTTTAGTGTTCAATCTTCAGATTATACCTTTTTCAGAGTCCGAGTCTTCGCGACAGGGAAAGGGGTGGACGCCTACCACGCAAAGTGAATTACAGTATAAAGAGTTTTCACGTAAGGATTGTTTACTTCAATTCAAACATTTACACACAATTTTTTTTTAGAGGTACATTACACCTTCTTTTTTTCTTCTGTGCGCTAATCCCCCCGATCCCGCTCCGCCATCTCCTTCGAAAGCATAACTTGCTCGTAGAAGTCGACGTCGGAGTTTCACGTAGTCTCGCTTCGAGGTCCATTACACTTAAATTTATTTAAAGTAACAGCCACTACTATTTTTATTAAGCTGGCTATTATTTTCGAGTTCTGCGCACAGGCACGAGGTAGGATACGCGTAGTCTCGTACTCGTACTTACTTAAACACTGAGCGACCAACTTCATCAAAACGGGTCGATAGATATAGAAGAAACTGGATAACAAATACAGTCTGTTATGAAATTTATATCTCTTAAAAAAAAAAAAAAACTCCCGTTAAAAAACAGCGCGTCGTCGTCGTTTTCATAAAAACCATGACCCTCGCAAGATGAATATTTTACAGTGACTACAACGCGTTGGAAGCTGTTCATACCTCAATGAGCGTTTTCAAATCACATATTACGTTAGTCAAGCTTTTATATAAAATTTTAACGAAACATCTTATAAATTGAAATCGTCGAAATATTGTTTAGAATGTTTACTAATATCTAGTTCGACCAGCCTTGTTGGCCGCACTACGCAGCGACTGGTGGCCGAGTCTTCGTCGCTTCATGCCAACTCCAGTTCTCCTCGCAGTGGACAATGATGAGCCCATGGACTTCCTGACAGAAGTTCGGCATGTTGTGGTCGTATTCCTTAATATAATTACTAGGACTGGTACGACGGACGTGCTTCTTAAAGTAGTAGATGATACTTACAAATATGTTTTAAGGTTAGTTTTGCCTAGAACTTACAATAAAATTATATTGATTTATTTGCTTTTTAAGGTGAACTGGGTAGATGGAGCTTCTAATTCGTCTATTTTATTTTTGTGGGTATAAATATAATCACAAAAAATAGAAATCTACTCGTTATTTTCATTTCTATTTATCTTCGCCCCATGTAAAGACATCATTTTCATTATTCGATTTACTAGCCAGACTATTCTTAGTCTCCATAATTTGAAAAAGAAATGTCTACAGCCTATTGCTGGCACAGTAGCATATAAATGTCATTCTTATTATTCGAGAAGATATTTGTTTCGTCATAACTCCCATAACCACGATTTGACTGCCCATTTCAGGTCTTTTTTATGATCTCTTAGTAGTAACAGAAGATTATTTTTCTTTTTAGTGTGACATCAAAGGCTGATGGTTATGTGAACAAAGTATCCATGTTCGATAAAGACATGATGTTTTTAATTGTGTTTGGCCTTAGAGGGCTCAAACACGAAATGGAAGCACAAAACGCTATTCTGTGTGCCTTCGAGTTGAGTGAGAATCTTGTCGATGAAAATATTCTTAGTGTATCTATTGGAGTCACTTCTGGTTAGTTGTTATCTTCTTTATTAGTAGATTAGTAATACTACTAAAAGACATGCTGAAGTTCGTTTTTAACCGACTTCAAAAAAAGGAGAATGTTCTGATTTCGGCTGGGGGTAACAAATATAAGAAAGTTTTTATTAATATTTGTAACAAAGAGAACTGCGTCATATTCTGTGAACCGATTTGAAAAATTCCTTTTAAGAAAGTTAGGTACTATTCAAGTTTGAAGAAGAAATTTCACCCCTAAAAGTGTAAATTAGGGAATGAAGAATAGAGTTTGTTATTATTCGTCGTGATGATGTAGGCTCATTGTAGTCGGTGATCCTTTTTAAACTTAAATTATATTAGAATAAGATTGTATGTTAAACTATATTCAGAACATGTTTTTTTTTTGTCTTACTTAGGTAGCTATTTCTGAATATGAAAATGCCATTTCCTTTTTATATTAAATGATAAATTCTGAATAGAATTAAAACAGTATAAATAAATGATCCTTGATTTTTAAGGTATCACTTACTGCGGTGTAGTAGGCCATGTTTTGCGAAGAGAATACACAGTTATAGGCCCTGCAGTAAACAAGGTATATTACAATGCTAATTAATAAATAGTAACAGTTTTATTAAATCGTGACGCAGTCTTTTTAAGATAAAGATTATATTTTGAACTAGAAATGTAACATTATGCTGTTTTGAAGGATTTGCGCTGTGTAGTTTTAAAATGGTAATGGTACACTAAAATGTAAACTAAATAAGTACACTTGCTCGTCATCAAGGACCACCTCACACCTCACCGTGTAAAAACTACTTACTTCTTAAATAATCTGTAGTTTTAAATAGGTATTTTTCCTCCAGTAAGTTCTAGAACTCTTGGTATTTCCAGGCAGCAAGATTAATGATTGCCTACTATGACATGGTATCATGTGATAAAGAGACCTTTCTAAGAAGCAAGCTACCGCAGGAGTTTTTTAGGCAACTAGAAGCAAAGCCTTTGAAAGGAATAGTTAAACCAGGACCTGTATACCAATTTAGCAAAGTGGGGTTAGCATGAATTTATTACTTTTTTTGCCTGCCACCCGCCGTCTAATAAATAGGCCTATCTGCGTCATCATCAACATCAACAGCCTTTAATAGTCCACTGTTGGACATAGGCCTTTCCTTGGAAAGGAGGTCTATCTGCGTACTAATCTTAATTTAAACCTTTACTCGGTAAGATAGACTTCAGATTGTATGAATCGGAACTTCGCTCCTGCCCGACGCCGATCAGTTTAACAATGCCTTAGAACTAAGCCAATGGAGCCTTTAGCTAGTTCCGTTTATTTTCATAGTTTTCTGCAATAATAATGACAATGGCGTACTTGGTGATTCCTGATTTCATAAGTAAATATTTTAGATTTTTTTAGCACATCCGGACCAACTCGTCAACCGAAGCCGAGGAAAACCGGTGTTTAGCAATCCTTTTCTTGCTTTTCACCGAGTGCGTATCAGAGGCATACTCCCGCCCTGCCTTATTCCAACGGCACTTGACAATGCAGTAGTAGACCAGTAAAGTATCGGCATTATGAATCAATATTACAACGCGTAGTGTTCGTTGTGCATCACTTGATACTAGATGCCGCTGTCCTACAGATTCCAACTAACTACACAATACAAGAACCATTTAATCCTATGGCGCAACAGTATTCATGTTCTAATCCGTGTGGTGACGGATTAAGAATATGGAGTTTTACCACCCCTATTCATCCCCTGGATGTCGTAACTGTCGACTAAGGGCGCAAGCTAGGAGAACAGCACTGCACAAAGAAAAAAAACTTAAAACAAACCCTATATCAATCCGTCTGGCCAGCGTGGTATAGTAGGGCAAATTCTCCTTCCTAAGGAGAGGCATATGTCCAGCTAGACGACTAATAAAGGCTGTTATGATGATGATATTCTGATATTTTATTATAATCTTATTACGTAGAATGAGGGTTTTGAGGATGAATTTAACTATTAAAGGACTAGTCCTACTAGCGTTTATGTTGTTGCTGTCTCAATTTGGTGTATTTTCATACACGATCGGTTACAGGTGGCCAGAACGCTTTCCTGGCTGGCGACACCCAATTTTGGACCGGAACGATGAGCTGAAACAATTTAAGGCAGTATTGCAGAATGCCCTTGAACAGCAACAGCGTAGTTTTACGAGATACCGCGACCACAAATACGCCGTTGCTTATACAGTTAGTAGTATTTACAAAAGCCTTTGGAATGTGCATGCTTTAATGTTTTTGCTAAATTTACTTCGAACAGTTCCTAAAACACCCTCGTATTCTTTTGTCCCGATAGTCGTTTCTGGACTACTCAACAAAGAGTGTAAATATATTTCACAATAGTATAATATATAACACACTTGATATTTTAACAGGCAGATCACTTCTAGCCATTTCGATCTACATGCAGTTAAAAATGCCTTTAAAGTGCCTCTCATCGAATGTGCCCATATTTAACCATGGAGTGGGTTCTGATAGCGCTTTCTAAGTTGACCGAGTTCAAGATAGCCAGAGGTGGCGACCTCTGCAAGTATATGATTTAAGAGACTCTGGCAAAGACGTCCTCTATAAGCTATGTGGACGCAGGATACAATTTCCATCCTGGTGAAATGAAATGCGTGTATAGTGTAAATTAAACTACATATTTAATCACAGGGACGCAAGGCTGTTGGCACGACGCGATTACTCGAAGAAAGTTTATCATTGGTACCTGATTCAGTTCGTAAACGAAAAATGATACTAAAGGAGTCTGGAATAGTAATACATTTAAATATACTTAAATCGCGTATAAATAATATAATAAAATATATATATTTCACACATCTCAAACTTTGCCGTGTGATTCCAAACTAGGCAGAAATTGTGCTATTCTAACCAAACTGCTGATAAGCATACTTATATATTTCTAAACACATACATATTATAGATAAATTACACCCAGACACAGAACAAATGATCGTGCCCATTACACAATATTTGTTCTGGGTGGGAACCGAACCCACGACTTCTGGTTTAGCGGTACCAACAGGCAAATGACATATTGTGTAATATTAACGCGGTCCTATCAGTAACAACAAGGCTTTAATATAGCACGAGAATTGTGTTAAGACATATACTTAGTTTGTTTTTTTTTTTGGTTGAAATTTTTAATTGCCGGTAAAGGGACGGGTAGCGTCAGGTTTCTTAAATTAATCAAGCTCTGACTTGCAGATGTTCTTTTGCATTTTAAGATTATATAAAAATAAATCTTTCACTTTTCAGATGTCATATTCTTTTATTCGATCTATAATTTCGAAAAAGTTTAAGAGAACCATTACTGCGGACGTGAATCAAACACGCAATTTGAGGGAGAAAAACGAGGCTATGATCAGACATTGGTATACATCATGTGATTAGAAATACCTACATTATATATTGCGTCCTCTCAAAGACCAACAAACTTGCTCTTTTTAACCCATAAAGTTTATTTTTACAATAACTAGCCACTTAGCTCTTAAATATTAGATGGATTTAGTTGCCCGTTCACCTGAAAATATTCTATCAAGATCAAATCTCGCCATCGTAACTGAAACGGTTTTCCATAGTAGCCATATTTTTTATACCAAAAGTAAATAGCCATAGTCTAAAAGTCAGACAATTAAAAAGCCGGCAATATCTATTAGAAGATTGCCATAATGTCTGTACTCATTAATTACTAGAAAGTTAATTTAGGATTAGACCAACACTTTATTGAAATTCGGTCGTTATTTGATTCTCTTGAAATTTACAAGAAATGTTTTTTTGCCTGCTGCCTGCTTTCGTACTGCAAAATACACGTTTGCAAACGAATTAGTATATTCCTAACAAATAATTAAGCCAACAAATAATTATCCTTTTTTATATTTAACGCCTAGCGAAATGAATTTAATAATAATGAGTACCTAGAACTCAGCTCCCAATATCATGGCCGCTATTAAAATGAGTTTGATTCACAGCTGACCTTTAAACTAATTATGATGAGACATATTATGAACTAGGCTGGTGTCTTTTTTCCTTAATTTCTTGTTGCTACCAGCGAGTCCCAATCATTCGTCTTTTCAGTCTGGCTTAATGTTGCATTTTTTCTTATTAGTATTAATACAATGGAAACAACACCACTGCAGTTATACGCCTTGAACATTATATTTGACTGTCGCTTTCCGCTGCCAGAGAACTTTCGCCCCTCTGGTGATATACTGACCGATTTATCAGTGAAAAGTACCATTCGAGAAATCTGCATTAAGGTAATTATTTTGCCTAAGTAAAACTGGTTGTAACTCAGAACTTGCCAAGTATTTTTTCTGATGCGTTTAATTAATAAGTGAGACTAATAGTTTTTACTCATTAATATCGTCCATATTACTTAGTATTTAATCTAGAATTGTGTGTCGAAATCCAGATATCAGAAGAAATACTTCAGCATCATCCAGCGAAGACAAGCCGACCTACTTACTAACAACTGGTTCTATATTCTGCAATAAAAGTTAGTTAGTTAGTTGCCGATTAGTGTGTACTTGCAAAGTAGTCTGAAGGTTATAGTCAAACCGCCTTAAGCTTGGCCCTCCCGATGGTTTTCTAACATTACTTTGTATACTGCTCTTATACAACGTGTCTTCGTTCGGACTGTACAAACTTAAGGGGGTGATAGTTTGCTCTATTTTATCACTAAAATCATTCTACAGGTGGGGTGTAAACCCGGCCTCTGAATGGCAGCCATTTTTGTATTTTGGTTGACTTTTTTGTAGCGTCCATACTAAAAGTTATGTAACTTTGGAGTTTAATGTCCGATTATCGTAAAACAAAAATTTCCCATAACGGAAAAGTATTAGCAATCAGATAAATAACTCAAATAATTTGAATAATTGTTGTATCATATTAAAATGAATGCTTAAAGATCAACTTTACGTCAAAATTAACATTGTTTTATAGTATTTCAAGGCTATTACAAAAAATACCCCTGTGAACTATCTCTTATTATGCACGTGTCTTAGAGATGGTAAGCTGACCTAAATAATGATACCAAATACTCGATGCTATGACAACTGGTGTAAGAGATATTGTTGCTCGAACGCAGCCCTTCCGTGCGTAAGATATGAATGAGCATCGCAATCTACACTTGTGGATGGCTGAAAATCCACATGCTGTTAGAACATCAACATTTCAGCATGAATTTTCTGTTAATGTGTGGGCAGCTATGATCGATGATCAATTGATTGGCCCCATCGTACTCCCAAGAAATTTAAATGGCCCAAGATTTTTAGAGTTCCTTACAAATTAATTTTCTGAAGCGTTATTAGAATTACCATTGTCATATCGGCGACGCATGTGGTTTCAGTTAGATGGAGCTCCTCCACACTTTGCCCGAGCGGTAAGGGCACACCTAGACCAATATCATCCACAGTGGATTGGCCGCGGCGTTCCTGTAGCCTGGCCACCGCGTTCACCATACTTAACGCCACTGGACTTTTATCTCTGGGGTTGGATGAAACAGAAAGTTTATTTTGAGCCAGTCAACACCAGAAAAGAGTTGCTGGAGCGTATTCGCGTTGCTGCTGCTGCCGAAATTAAAGATACGAACCAGTTGAGACGGTCAACACAGCAGGTAACGATCCGGGCTACTGCGTGCCTTCAAATTGGTGGCGTACATTTTGAACGATTATTGTAAATGTACATTTGTTATTAAATAATTAATACTTGTTATTTTGTTTATCTTTGCTAATCACTGTAAATATCTAAAGAAAAACCAAATCGTTATGAATTCACTACATCCACAAGCCTATGTTCCAACAACAATATTTTTTAAACCAATTGTCATAGAATCGAGTTTTTGGTATCATTATTTAGGTAAGCTTACCATCTGTGAGACACGTGCATAATAAGAGATAGTTTACAGGGGTATTTTTTGTAATAGCCTTGAAATACTAAAAAACAATGTTAATTTTGACGTAAAGTTTATCTTTTAGCATTCATTTTAATATGATACAACAATTATTCAAATTATTTGAGTTATTTATCTGATTGCTAATACTTTTCCGTTATGGGAAGTTTTTGTTTTATGATAATCGGACATTAAACTCCAAAGTTACATAACTTTTAGTATGGACGCTACGAAAAAGTCATCCAAAATACAAAAATGGCTGCCATTCAGAGGCCGTTAGGTTTAGACCCCACCTGTAGAATGATTTTAGTGATAAAATAGAGCAAACTATCATCCCCTAAAGTTTGTACAGTCCGAACCAAGACACATTGTATATTTTAATTGTTACTTACAGAATTTTGTCAATTTATGGGTGCTTGGGATTGACAATGCCCAATTCATAGACGACGATTCTTGGCGCATATTAATAATACTTCTCGACACCAAGATGATCTTCATAATAATGGCTATCAGCAATGTGGAAAGCATATCAAGTAAGACAGTATTACTACCAGTAGTTGACCAGATGTTTGACCGGTATTTACTAATTTTTTCAGTAAAGTTCCGTCAAAAGTAGGTTATAAACATTCCTAATTATTTTAAACACCATCATCATCATCAATAGCCCTTAATAGTCCAAAATGAGGTTTTGGCTTACTATACCACGACGACCAGATAGGTTGGTATAGGGTTTGTTTCAAGTTTTTAGAGGAGCGTACCGTCGTGTACGAGGACCGAGATGGTAATTCGAAGTGTCGGCCCATGTCGTGCGGTGTTCCACAGGGGTCGGTTCTTGGACCCCTCTTGTGGAACATAGGGTACGACTGGGCCCTTCGACCCGATTTCCCCCCCCGGGCTGGGTGTAATTTGTTACGCAGATGATACTCTGGTGACAGCCCGGGGGGCGAACTTTATCGGCGAGTGGCTGACTCCCGGGCGGAGAGCGGATTTCGCCCTCCGCCCGAAGAAGTGTGCGAGTGGCGCGAAGCCGCTCGCCGAGCCACGATGGCTCGTTGGTCGTTCCGGCTGGAGACTCCACGCGCTGGCTTCGCCGCCGTGGAGGCTCTCCAGCCGGTCATCGCCGAGTGGGCAGGGCGGCAGCACGGGACCCTTACCTTCCGGCTGACGCAGGTGCTTTCCGGGCACGGTTGCTTCGGAAAGTACCTGCACTCGGTCGCTAGGAGGGAACTGAGTCCCGCCTGCCACCACTGCGACTGCAGTGAGGACTCGGCCTAGCACACGCTGGCGGTCTGCCCCGCATGGGCGACGCAGCGCCGGGCCCTCTGCAGTTATCGGAGTGGATCTCTCGCTACCGGCCGTAGTACGCTCCATGGCCGGTAGCGACAGTTGTTTTACCGCGGTCGCAACCTTCTGCGAGGAAGTAATCTCGCAGAAGGAGGCGGCGGAGAAGGCCCGGGAGGACGACCTCCACTCGGACCCGATCCGCCGCCGGCGAACCGGGCGGCGGAGGCGCACTTATCACCGCCTCATGCCGCCCTGAGTGTGGCCGCGGGTGGACGGGGTGGGTTTCCCCTCCACCCGCATTAGTTTGGCCAGCCGCGAGGGGGCGGCGTCCGCGTGTGCCGGACGTCGCCTAAATAGAGAATGTACCTGAAGGTGTTGCCCGCATCGTTGCGGGCAGGCGCTAGGAGGGGTCCGGAGGTCCTAATACCAGCAGTTCCCGGATCCCTCCTATTACAGGCGCAGAGTGGCACACCGTGTGGTTTTAGTCGGTCTGAGCCCGACACACCACCCCGCCGCAAACCCCGGTGGGGTGACGGTCCGAGGGGATTTCCACACGTAAAAAAAAAAAAAAAGGGTTTGTTTCAAGTTTTCCTTCTCTTTGCAGTGCTGTTGTCCTCCGTAGTTTGCTCCCTTCGTCGGCTTTTCCTAAACTCACAGGATGAATAGGGTAGTGAGATTCAGTATTATTAATAAATCACCACACAGACAACAATTTATATAACTCTTAAACTCATCAATTGCTGCTAAGCAAATAAAGATTAGTTGATAAACTGAGAAGAGCTGCTGTTCTTATCTATATATTTTGTGATGTAGGGGGCGTACTAGCAGACGGGTCATTTGATGGTAACTGAATATCACCGTTCAGCGCTGCCGCGTTTGAGAATTATTTCTCGAGTAATTTACCTCACTTGCTCACTAAAAAGCAAGGAATGGTTAATTTCGGTTTTCCGTATTTTTCATTAATCATACTGTAAATTGACGAAATAACATTTAAATTAGTCAAGCCAGCACTGTGTCAATGCTTAACACCTGACTCTTAACTGTAAAGAGGGTAGTCTGCTCATCATATCCTCTGGGAATGTAGTCTTTGGTATATTTAACGTATAATATAATGCTGAATAGCTTACAGGTGACATCTGGGGCGGTAATACTATGGGGATCTTGTGTCAATCCATGCCATATATATTATAGAAATCAAATGTATGTAGCTCACTTAGGATCCATAATATTCCGTGGCCGTAGTGCTTCCCTGTTCAAAAGAGTGTGGTCTATTTTTATTTTGTCTTCGCTTCGCTAAGGAGGGAAGTGGATTTATTGTATTTCCAACTCCTCCAATTTTCTTCTGATTAATATCGTTGCGGGTTCCAGACAGTTTCATTTTTTCCTGGGACACTTCTGCTGATCCTGGTGTACAGAAGTAACATTGGGCGTGTGGGAGGGCATAGTCCCGTTAATCATACTGTAAGCTATTGTAATTTCATCATACAATTGCCATATTTATGTTAACTTAGGTTACAGTATATACATATATTAGTAGAGATATATAGCTACGTTCATACATTCAACTAATATTATATATTATCGAATGATTGTCACAGCGATTGCCCAAACCTGCTTAACAAACCACATGGTCGTGAATATACCGTTGAGAGGAATTAGCCGCAGCTACCTTGCAGCCTTGGCCTGCCAACTTCTTGATGTTCAAGCCATACCCGCTGATCTAGAAAAGTAATTATTATACTATATATGTAACAAGAATTAGGTAATCTGTAAAAAGGTAATTTATTTTGCCTTATCTTCCTATTTTTAAAGATATCATATAGAAAAATTCACCTATTTTGTTATGGAAGGCTGATGAGAAAACGGGTCAACGGAAAGTGACTAACGACGCCCATGAACGCCTGCAATCAGGAGTCACAAACGCGTTGCCGGCCTTTTAGGAAGGTGTACGCTCTTTTCATGAAGGGGTTCAAATTTAGTAACTAGGTGTTAAAATTGGCAACGGGAGTTGTACAAATGATGGCACATATCGTGATATGTTTCGACTTAAGTTAACGAGGTCAGATTAAAATTAAAAAAAGAATAACTCAAGTCAACTGAACTCTTAAAGAACCAATTAAGAAACATTATATTGTTCTCAGAGTTATGGAAAGTGCTAGTGGAGGTCTGCCAGGATGGATCCAGAATTTTGTCATATCTTTAGTACAACGGGAAGAATTGAGTATTGTGATGTTAACTCGGTTCGAAGCACAGAAGCTAGGCGCCGTAATGCCTTCCCCTGTTATGCTTCAGGTCAAATCTACGAGCCAGCACACCGATGACTATTCAATGAAAGGAAATAGTGAATTGGTAATATATACTGTAAATACACTCTTTTAGTGGCCATATGGGGTATAAAATAAAGTTCAGAAATATTGATCATATTTTGCAAAATCTCCATGAAATATATATTTTTTACGACCTTACCTTTGTACTTGTACCCTCTATATAAAGACTCGTTTTCGTTCGAATTTCAGAGGGTTTGCAATTATTTACCTTAAATGAGTTATAGATTTTTTTTAAATACGCGAAATAAACAAATACTCTTAAGGAAACTAAGTACTCTAACATTACTTGGACCTACCAATAATATTCTTGGCACAAACTTGTTGTCCAAAAATAACAGGTTCATTCGCGTTTACGCCTTGGTCACCCTAAAATTAGTCGGGTCGTCGACTACCCCTTTACGGTACCACGTACCCTTCTTAATAAATTAATGAATTAAACCTTCAACAACAAACCCTTTTTCTGGTTTATTACGTTAGTTAACCCAGACCTTAAGAAGATAAAGGAGCTTATTATTATTTATTTTTACTTTATAAAGGAGGAATTAATGCCGTAGGCATTTTCTCCCAGTCAACCTTAGGGCGATACAGAGATATAACATGGTAGGTGCACAGAAATTTAAAATGTGATTTTATGAAAAATATAGCATACTAGGATATCATATACCCAGAGCATCCTAATGTAATTAATAATTAGAATAATCATTTCTTAATAATACATATACAAAAAGTGACAATGATACTAACATACACAATACATAGTACCAATGATAATATATATGGTATTTAAAAGTTTGCCGAGTTTTTGCCAACCTGATGTCGAGAGGGAGCGCGTTCCATAACAGAACAGATTGTTCCAGGCAAGTAGAATGTACGAAGTCAGAGCGGTGAGTGGGACAATGAAGAAGTAGGTTGCTTGAAGATCTAAAGGTTTTAGCGTGGTTTGTACCTAAATATTGAAGTTAAGTAGGAGGGAGAACTTGGAGAAAAGAGTAAAGAATATAGGGTAGTAAATGCTCGTGTCTCTCTGCGTTGGCGAATTGAAAGCCACTCCAAAAGGGGGCGACGCTGAGACACGTGATCATATTTGCGTAAATTGAAAACGAATCGAATGCAATTATTGAGAATTATAATTATGCGTGTAAAACTGCTAGTGCCAACAAAAATAATGGGATTTCTGTATTTTAGAGTATGTGCAGCCATAGCGTAAGTATATTAAGCTCGAGTAAACAGGATGAACTTGAGAGGCATGACCAGGAAATGATACAAATGGCTGTCTTACCGGAATCTTATACCTTTGATAATATGAATGTTGATATAACTATGGATGGTAAATACTATTCTATATCTCTATAAAATGCTTTCAGATTTGTATTCGGTTGAAATTAGAGAAGTAATGCCGAAAATACTTAGTCTTCTGTTCTCTCATCCTGGTGGCTGAAATATGTATGACTCTTATCCTGACTAGGATCGTAAAACCAAATGTGGAACCTGTTCCAACCTGTTAACCTCTTGAAACACCATTGCAGTAATGATTGTTAATAGTGCAGTCGAATTTTGAGTTAATCATTATTTTCTATTACGAATGGCGGTCTCTTCACTCGTGATTATACTCTTCAAGTTTTTGCTCGTATGTTGATTATCATGGTAAAATATAGCCTATGTTACTCGCTAGTAATGTAGTTTTCCACTGCTGAAAGTTTTTTTAACTCGGTGTAGTGGTTTAGGCGTAAAAGCGTAAGAAACAAACAAACAAACTCATTTTCACATTTATACATCAACAGCCTTTAATAGTCCACTGTTGGACATAAACCTCTCCTTAGAAAGGAGGTTTTGGCCTACTATACCACGCTGGCCAGACGGGTTGGTATAGGGTTTGTGTCAAGTTTTCCTTCTCTCTGCAGGGCTGTTGTTCTGCGTAGTTTTTTCCCTTAGTCGTCTCTTACGACACCCACGGAATGAATAGGGGTGGTGACACTCTGTATTCTTAATCCGTCACCACACGGAAACATTTGTAAGTGTGGATATATTGCATATTGATATTCAGTACACGATATTGTATTTTATCTGCTATTAAGTGTCTTTAGTGGTTCATCAATTTAACAGAGAAAGATTTTTAAGCTAATCCACATTATTCTATGTAGGGGTAGGGGTTATTAAAAAAAGCGAAACAGAGCCTCTAATTTGGTCATCAGTTCTCCCTAGGCTACAACAAATTTAACCAATTTCTCAACAACACTTATAGGATTCTTCTACAGTAAAAAAATCAAGGAAGCTCTTACACTAGAATTCATTAATAATTAGTCAAAACTACGAGGAAGTTTAGATAGATAATAGACTAAAGAAATAAAGTAGCTTGAATCACTCGTTTTACAGGTATTAGGTACTGCAGGTATGCCCGCCATTTCAGATCATTCCCACCATTTCAGAACTTATCACGTGATTAACAAATGAAATAAGAAAATAAACACATGGCATTACAACGTTTGATAATGTAGCTAATTATTAAAAAGGTGAAGCTATTTAATACAAATTTCTATGAAGCCCTAAGGTTTATTTCAGCGTATTGCCCAATAAAGAGGATTAGTAAAAGACTATCACAATGATTACGTTTTCATATGGATTACTTTTTATTTCATGTAAACTGTTTGACTATTGAGTTTTGTTCATTCTGTTTGTTGATTTCAAATGCGAATTTAGGAATTTACACCATCATCACACCAACAGCCTTTCATAGTCCACTGCTGGACATAGGTCTCTCCTTATTTAGGAATTGATTTTACAATATGTAGCTACCTAGTCGGACCTACGTTTTTATCACTTTCTTGTTACAATTTTGTTAATTAAATCAAATTGGGAAACTACCTACTTGATAAGAAACTAATAAGCGTTTTAGAAACGCTTTAATTACTAAAAAAATATTATCTTAGTTTACTGTTACAATTTTTTAACTAATCTAAGACCATCAATTACCGTTTTACACGCTTTATATTAGCATCACTTGTATGTTTGTTTGTATGTTTGTAACCGACTCCTTTGGACGTGATTTTGACTGACTTTAAACGGTCAGAATTCGTTCAAACTTTGTAGATATATCCAGGACCGATGACAATACACTTATTAAAAAAAAATATATGTATAGTTTTAAAAAACTAAAAAACACGCTTTCTATAGAAAACCTAACTAAAAAATAGAAAATAAATTTGAAAAAAGCGTGGGGTGCTTTTTACTATTGACAACAGGCACCCGACGCTTTTTTTCCAAATTTTTTTCTATTTTTTTTTTTAAATCAACCATTAATATAATTATTGTTTTACGTCATTTTTAAATCGAGCTTAGAATTTATATACTAGTTTTACAACAAGTATTCACAAATTGGATACTTACACAAATTAGACCAATATGTGTAAATCACATTATCATTACAATTGTTAGTCAAATCTAAGACTTCTGTGTTATAACATTAATAACAGTTTAATCTAACTTAAATATCTAATGACAATATAACTAATAACAAAATATTAGGCAATTAAATAGTACTGTTTATCGATACAGCGACATTTAGGTAACTTAGGTATGTTCCTCTATCTATATATATCTCTTAAAAGATGATTTCTGGGATAAAAACTATCCTATGTCCTTTCCCGGGACTCTAACTATCTCTATACCACATTTCACCTAAATCTGCCCAGCGGTTTAAGCGTGAAGAGGACACAGACAGACAGACAGCCACACTTTCTTATTTATGATATTAGTATGGATTATATTATTAGTTAATTTATCACACCTATAGATAAGTTTAATATAATACATAAGCTACAAAATAATAAAAAAATAAGTAATTAGTAGGTACTTAGTAATTATTTCGATTATTTTTAATTATTATTATATTGTAATAATTTTTCAATTTCCTCAGTCACGTAATTTAAGGAAATAAGGTTAGGAGAACTCCCACCCCGATACTTTAGGCTCTTCTTTTCCTGTCTTCGCGGTCCCTTTTACGGATCTCTAGCATTTGTATCAGTGGCAGAGTCAGTATTTCAACTCACAGGAGGTAGAAAATAATGATCAATATGTATAATAATAATAATAAGTGCATACATCTTACACACGGCACCGATCTGAGCTCTATATGAACGCTTTTGAAATACCTACTCTTGCTTCTTCCGTTTCAGCTTTAATATTGAAAATTTATGACTCTTTGAATCCTTTCGAGAAGATGTTATTAAAATGCGGATCAGTACTCGGAGACGTTTTCACCAGAAGGATGTTGCTGCATTTGCTTCAAAGTAATTCTCCAAAGAAGTTTGCGGAAGGTATACCATTTTTTCACATAATAATAATTTCAGCCGATAGACGATAGCTGGACAAAGTCCTCCTCCAAGACTTTACATAGTTAAACAATATTATTAATATTTTTCACTTAGATGACGCATTCTTTTTTAAATTTTTCATATAGAAAATGATTTCCTGACAATATAAGTTGCATACATGTAATTCTTTTAAAAACGCACCAGTTAGATACATGTTTTGAAAACTAAGTTTGATTGAGGGATCTCAATAATAACAGTAGTACAGTTAATATGTTTCGTAAGTCTTGCACCATTTCTGCATAGTGTGCTATTTGGCAAGGCCATTAAAAGGTTAACATGGACCCAGTAGGCCTTCCGTAAGGTCTATAGTTGTTATTCCTGTCATAAAGTTCTGTCAATTGTTTACCATACCTACTACTTTATATACTATTACAAAAGGAACATCTAAATATTTTGTCCGTGTTTTTGCTCCTGGTGTCTTATCCAAAGCGGTGGCTAAGCTCTTCTCAATAAGGGTGCTAGAATGTGAAGGTGGAGACTTTACGCGAGATACATCTTTGGTATTGGTGCATCCTGCGCCTTCGGAGGCCGATCCAAAGCCTCCATATTGCGCGTGCTTAGGAACTAGAAGACCAGGTAAATTAGCGGTTTTTTTATATGCTCATTTAACCATTCTCATCGATTATCTAATAGACAACATTTTATGATATTCTCATCAAATTTATTTGGTTTTATCAGTAGGTTAACATTAAGTTGGGCGATTTTTAATATTTGTAGTTAGTTGGTTACTTTTTATTTCATGCGACAAGCGCAGAAAATAAAAGCAAGTTAGAAAAATATTTTATTTCATCTATTTTATTTTCAAGTATTTTGTTTATGTTATAGCGAGCTGCCGGCATCTACCGATGTATGCTTTTTGTGGCTACATGAAGTTTCGTCATACACTGTTCAGAACTACTACCTACGAACTATTGACTGAAAATCAGAAAGTAAGTATGAATTCGACCGTTTTTAACTTTTGCGTGTATATAGACAAAAACTTTTTTCAAGTACCTAAAGAGTTATAAACGGCATTTGTGCATTAAACTTTTATTCGGTTCATTAGAAACAAATTGTTGGTACTACAATATTATTATTAATATTATTTTAGAGTTAAACGTGCACTCTTGCTTTAAATCATTTATCGTTAAAAATTATCCTTCGTGTTCTTATAACTTCGAAAAACCTCCTCGTATATAGTGATTGAATTGTTTGCGGGTGCATGACATGCAGTACTTCATGCAGGTTGATATTTCGGTACGACATTGTTTGGCTGCAAGAGAATATGCATTGCAGATTATTCTGCCTCTCGACAAAATATGCACGTTATACCTTTTGCAGAATTTTAGATTGAACATGCGGTTGTTTGGTTCGAGTGTCCGTTCTGGCTTTGCTAGCACAGGCACAGGTTTATATCTTTTAAAAGCTCTTCCGTCTCTTCATTGCAATAAGTGGTTGTGTATTGGAAGTTCACGGTAGAAAATTAATTAGCGAATTAATTTTCTTTGCTGATGTCGCGGAATTGTTCTGATCCATGCTGTCGGTTATCTGAACCAGTTCTGGCATGTTCATTATATTTTTAAATTTTATTTATTAAGATGATACAGATTTAGTTGTTATTTATAATGTCTACCGTGAAAATTAATATTATTAATGCTCTTTTGATCAATCAACACCAGTAACGTTTTTACTACTATACTTTAATTTTAGTAAGAAAAATGGTTGCCAATTATTTTATAGCACGACCTCCACTCGCGTGCCCTGTTGTATTTGGAGCGCTACACGAGACGCTGCCTTAGCTGCGGCGCTGGCTGCTTCGGGAAACTGCTGGGACTACGATGTGATAGCGTATGACTTCTCCTTCAAAGACATTTTTATCTATCAAGGAAAATATTTATTTAAGCCTAGTGTTTGACCTTTCTTATAAAGGAACACGTAAAACAAACATCAAAGCAAAGGCAATATTTTGCTAAACGGCAATAGTAATGTCTATTATCTATCACTTGGTATCCCTCGCAACTGAATGATGTGCAATGTGTTCATAGAAAGACAGAATATTTACCCTGAACGCTTATGCTGCTCCTGCATATGCTCAAACACGACTTTTTAAAAATTGTAATATCGTTTATTACAATAATACCTACTTAAAAATGTCGTTTACACAAAATGATGATGAAAATTGGACAAAGCTCACACTGACTGGTGGGCAGTCAAATATGTAGTTGGTCTTGATTTTATTCATGACTAGCTTAGGTCCCCAGTTTCGCCCGTTTGTATGTCGATTACCGCGGCAAAGAGGTAGCCTATGTTACTCGCTAATAATTTAGCTTTCCATTGGTAAAATAATTTTTGAAATCGGCCCAGTAGTTTCGGACCCTATCCCTTACAAACAATCGAAACAAACAAAAAATCAAATCTTTACTCTTTACAATATTAGTATAGAAGTAAAGATTATAACATGTATTTAAAACAACGGATTAGGTAATTTGCATTTATTTATTTTCAACATTCAATATTACTATACTAAACTTTGTTCTAACCGTGTATTTATTAGGGTCTCGTCGATGAGAGGGAAGCTCTGAAACGAACACGCCGTCAAATATGTGCACTGAGTGCTGAAGCAAAAATGATTGGAGAAGAGGACACTAATTCTGAGTATTCGGTAAGTGGATGATATTTTATTGTCCCTATTCTTATTACTATTTTATCATGTATGTTTTTAAAGTCCTCGACACAGGATATATTCCTAGTGCGGGAGTTGTCTTATAAAGAAAACCTTTTGGACCTTAATTATGTCTTTTTGCAGTTGCCTGGAGATATGAGCTACCAGTTGTTAGAAACGGAGGGTACTTTGATGAGCCGTATAATAGGCAAACGAGGTATTTTTATGTGAAAAAATGTAGGTTCACATGTCACGGTAGTTGTCTTTTTACAAGTAGGCGGTCATCCCCCTTTGAACACTCGAAACATTATTTGGTCGGACCAAATGTTTGTATGATCTGTAAAATTTAACATTTGTTTCGGAGTTTGGGTGTTTTCTATGTAATATATGGATATATCTACAAGAAAAGTATTTAAGTATTTTTTCAGTCAATCTAGTTTTCATAGTACAATCTCTGCTTAGTTTGAAACTAGATGGCATTGTGTTTTAGATGACCGAAATATTATTATTGACTAACCTTAACATACGATGAAACTCTTACCGCATTACCTCGATAACCAAATGTTGCACTATTAGTACTGATCTCCATCATATAGTGATCGTGAGAGAACTGTACTAGAGTACCGAAGAGTTCTTCCACGATTAAACTGGAGTGGGCTAAACCGGAGAGGCACCATGGCCTCCACCACCACCACCACCGCTACCCTCCGTCCTAATGCTTCACTAAAAGGACGACAATGCACTTGTGTCTTTTAGTTCTTGAGCTGCAGGTGGTGGTCACTTTCGATTAGGTGACCCGACTTCTCGTTTGCCCCATATTCTCAAAAAAAATCTGCAAACATTACGAATATGAGTAGAAATTTGAAATAAAAAAAAAGTTACGTTACGTTAAAGTAAGTTACTTGCAGAGAATGCATATGGCATTATGTCCACCTTTGTACATTTTTTGTGCATAGAGCATTAAAATAAATAATAGTAATCCACTGTGGCCTGCCTTTCTCAAAAATTTTACTTAAATTATACTATTGCATGTGTAAGCAATTAAACACAACATTTTTTCCTCTCTTTTTTTTAATAATTACTTCTTCGTATGACTTTAGATAGTGGCTTTTATCCAAAGACGGTGAAAGGTGTGCAAGAACAAAAACGAGTTCGTTCCTTCTCTTCCCTAGACCTGGAGAACTGCGAGTGCCTCTCTATTTTACAGCATGTGTACTCTCAAGTTATTGACCATTGCAAAGGAGCAGGTAAAGATTTGACTTCGAAGCGTCTTATTAGGCACGTTCGGAAGTCCTTTTGTTATAATGGACTTTTACTTACGAAAAATAACTTTACATGTAAACCTGCCTTTTGAATTATTCTCTCTAATGGTGAAAACCGTATTAAACTCTGTTGCGTAGTTTAAGAGATTTAAGCGTACAAGAAAAAAAAGCGACTTTATTTTATACTACGTAAAGATATGTATGTATTGAGAAATTTCTAAGTTTGGTTACCGCTTCTACCTAACTTGGGATCCGTCTGCCGTGTGTGAGATACATGTTTTTTTTTATTGTGACGCCCTAAATTGAACCACATAACATTTCACGGTCTGCATGATCTGCGGCCAACATGATATCATTTTGTTACACTCCGTCGTGTAAATGACTAATTTTGGTGTTTGTTTATTTCAGGGGAAAATCAGAAACTATTTGAGGCGTACATGGAGTACGCCGACTTGTGTATTAATATAAATGTGAACATACCCCAATGTGTCCGTCTGCTATCTGAACTTGAGGGTTACATAAAGGTTTGTAGTTTTTCTGTCCTAGTTGCATTTGCTTGGGCAATGGCTAGGGGCGTTGCATAAGGGGTCAATGAAGTCAGGAGCGTGGGTGGCTCTCAAGTACTTTGTGCAGTAATTTTTCAAAATTCAAAAAATATTAAAACAAAAAAAAAATGCTTTATTGGCAAGTTCTTGCTTGCCGTTAAAATTTCACGACTGTTTTTATTTATTCAGTCCTGGGTGTAAAATTATAAACAAGATATGTGTCGGCACTCCCTCACTGGAGTGAGACCACGGTTAGGCAAGTGGGCCCTCCTCTGCAGTTACAGGTCCCCATGAGTGGCGGTAGTCACTTACCATGAGGTGAACCGTCTGCTTCTTTGCATCCTATACCATAAACAATTCTGTAATGATGGGGAGAGGGTAAAAAAATATCATTATCGAGGATGGAGGTCCGAATCTGTCCCGATGGAACCGGCGGATCAAATAGCCTATAGTTAAACCGTCGTAAGCTTGGCCCTCCTGATGGTTTGGGGGACGCGGGGCGGGGATGCATTCAACCAATTAGCTAGTGCGTCGCTGTCCGCCGGCAGTGACTGACGTGAAAGCATGGCTGTACGTGTTATTTTTCTTAAGACTGGTACACACGGTATTATTTTGCAACATGGATAATCTGCCGACTGTGCGTCACAAAAAGATTTAAAAACTTGAAGTTCGGCTTACAGAGGTTCTACTGTTAAAGTTCTAATAAAGAATATTTATTATTTTACTTAATTTTTAAAATTGTATCTGAATATAATTTATATGATGAAGATAAGGTGATTTTATTAAAATTATTTTACAGTATTAAATTTTACAATTAATCATAAAAACTTACAATACACTGACATTATAATACATGGAAATAAATTCGATTTTTATTATATCGTGTGTAGATTAAATCTCAAACAAATAAATCTGAAGATATCGAGTTAGTACGTCGTGTCATGTATAGCCGAGCGCATCACCCGCCCCGCGTCCCGCAAACCATCAGGAGGGTCAAGCTTACGGCGGTTTAACTATAAAATTTAATGTTTTAGCCTAAAACAAGTATTATCTAGAGAGTTTTATTCTTATCCCTACAGACTATAAAAAGTATCTTTATTATTTGTTGGTAGTCAAAGACTTTTTGCCTCGATTATAAATCTCCCAATAACTGGGTACATGATTTTAACTTGGCGTCGGTGCTCTCACTACGAGGTGTCTGCATGCTGGAGGCTGGTGATTTGATCGAGGCTAGAAAGGAGTTGCTCAAAGCTATGGAGCTGTATAGAGTTCCCTTTCCTACTTCTGGGTAAGGCAACGTAAAAGCATGCTAGTTTTATTGTTTATTTTTACACGCACCTGTACAATAATAGTGCCTAATCAGCTTATACTTACTCATAGATTTAGAGTTTTTTGTTTTATTGGTTGTTTGCATTGTTATTTATTTTGTATTACATAGACGTTTTAATTGCAAGTGGTTATCGACTATGTAAATTTATGTGGCTCTTAAGTATCTCTTAAGCTAGCAGTTTCCGCTCTACCCTTAAGGGTACAGCGGAAAAAACTGCGAGGAACGGCCAGTAGGAAATAATTATTAATCAGTTAGGAAGCCTTCGACACCTTTATGCATAAAAGTTAAGCAGTTAACTAACTCAGAACACTATTTATGTCTTTGCACCTATTTATCTGCGTATGATAAGTATAAAAAAAGAAAAAGATTTGATAATCAACTATCGATTAAAGAAGTAAAAACTTCAAAATATGTAACTAGTCGAATCTCAACTTCTTTTCAAACTAGCCGTGTCTTGCAGTTGTTGCTACGTTTATCACTGCTTCGCTCTTAAGCGTGGTGTTATTTAGCCTAAAACTTTACTCAATTAATATTCTGTTCTATAAAAAAATGATTACAGATACTGGAGAAAAATACACAACTTTGGGCAATCTTTAAAACAATTGTTGGCGCTGTATGTCGCGCCAAACTTTTACATAGCCAGATATGGCGGTACCGTTGGACACTTTTACGATGATATTGCCACGACACTGAGTAGATTGTACGTGTTGTTTACGGTAAGGTTTATCACAAACACTGTTAAGGCTTTGTAGCTGATCAGACCTATTTTAACTAACATGTCAGACCTAGTGTTCACTTGAAAGTTTTATCAGCAAGAAAGAAACAAACTGGATGATGATGCATGGGTTACCCGCTATGTGGTTGTAAATACTAATACTACTGGATGGAATGAATATAAATATAACCAAAATTTTCTAGATACCTATGTGCTATTTCAGACAGTAATCTTTATCTGGGCCAAAGTTCATCCAGATCCGTTCTGCCACGTTTTAGTTGTGTAGGTCGGTTTGCTGTTGGTATGTTGGTTGTTAGTATATATGTTTTTTCATATTTAACAAACATCTTTCTAGGAATGTAAAGAAGAAGCAAATGCAACATTGGCTGCGAAATGGTCTCTTAATTTCGCTTTGCGCAGTAACTCCAATTTGCGAGTATTGTGCACTAGTTACGCAAATATGATTTCAGTATATACGCAAAAACAAAAGGTACTTAAAACATAGAAAGTAGGTTAGTGTTTTATGTTAATTGTGTTATAATTAGACTTGCAACGAATATTCGGTTACTATTCGGTATTCGGCATATTCGGCTGCTTTTATTATATTCGGCCGAATACCGAATATCGACATATTATTCGGCCGAATACCGAATACTTAAATAATATATTTTGTCATTGAGAAATAATTGGTAAAATGAAAAATTAAAATCGATTGATTACGACGTATACATTCATATTTTCATTTCTGTTATAATCATTTAAGTAGTCATTGGTGCATAACACAGGTACATAATCATCTTCTGAATTGGAAAAATGGAGGATTATATTTGTATTATAGTAGTGTAGTATAGTATTTGAATTATTGTGGTAATCAAAATTTAGAAGGGTAAGGTTCTCATTTCTTTTATAATCATTTATTAAGTAGTCATTGGTACATAAAACAGGTACATAATTCAATTCACGTCTGTACAAGTTTTTGCCGCTAAAATCCAGCCGAATACTTTTGCCTAATATTCGGCTATTCGGTCAGGGGCCTCGCCGAATATTCGGTATTCGGTATACTGCCGAATATACTATTCGTTGCAAGTCTAGTTATAATATTACTTTATTGACCACTTTATAATTGGATAACTTAAGTAATTGATAAAACTAAAACTCTTCGAACTTTATTTCTCCTTCTTTGTACGACAGTTTCTAAGATTAAAAGAAAATGAGTTAATTAGTAATACGGTTCCCCAATAATCTTGCCAAAACTACATCATCATATGCTTTTAGTTTCACGTACTTTGTTCGAACTAGTTGATCCCAAGTTTATCGCCTTATAACGCTATCGCAAAATAGTAGTACAATTTTATTATTCAAAACAACATTACGTTGACAGTTACAAGATCACTCTTAAAGATTATTTATGAAAATTGGTAATGTTACAGGAAACTCAGGAAAGCCCCTCTTCTCCTTCGCTAAGTCACTGACACAGGGCATCCCATTAACAAGAGCCTTTAGTTTCCAGTTAGAGAATTTCTGACAGAGCATATATTGCTAACTTAATTCAATATGATATCAAGAAATGTAATAGCTCTAAAGAAGTGACAGTCATGTAAAAGGAACTACCGCAATGTCACAAACTGGGGCTCTTTAGTGACTGAAACCAACCACAAGGTTCTGTTCCACTAATGTACCTCATAGTTTGGGGTCTCATTACACTATGCACGCCATGAGTATATAATATAAATCTAACGTCTGTGTATTCTTCATTTTCAGGCGGGTAGATTTGATAGCCAAGATTTCCTTTAGTCTTTAACCCAATTTCAGTGTTATAGAAAATAAAATTGAGTACTTATGTTACTTATTCAATGTTTCAATATTTACTCTAGTACTCGATGTGCATCACGTTGGAGAAAAGATCACTGGAAAACTGTCGCCGCAAACGAGGACAACTTGACGTCACCGAAGTGGATTCCGTGTGCTTACTGTACACCAACATTTTTCTATTTTAGTTAGTTGCCCCTAATTTCTTGTTTGGCATCTTATACCAACTAGTTTATTAGCTATTTTCGTTGTCTTACTCATTGTTGTTAAGTTTTATATTACGTAGACCGTGAGATACATCCCACGAGATGGTCGGCAAAAAGTCTTACTAACAAATTACTTTTTCTAAATTTTATGCGAAAACCTTAAGAGTTATTAATTTTTTGAATAGTTGTCTGGTCTCTAGTGTAAAATTAGATATTTCGAGTAATCGCTTTCTATCGTCGACATGTGTTTATTCAATGCAAAGTGTTTTATTCATTGGGAAAGGAACAGTGACCAGCGACCATTTATGACATTGCGGGCCACAGTTCGTTTTTAGTAATATCAATAAACTATTCACGCTAGTTGTTTATTAACTACTTTTATTGGATTTCAGCGTGGAGTGGTCTAAAAAGTTAGAAAGTCTGGAATTTGGTCTTGTGGTGATGCATATGATGCCCGGTGTGCACAGCTCTCAAATGCGTCAGGTGCTCATTCTATCGATGCTGAAGTTGCTGTTATGTGATCTGAGAATAGTCGACATGGTCACCATTATGACAGAGTTTCTTTATCTAAGTGATACGACGGATTTGTGTTGTAAGATTTACTTATATAACTCATACCTACTTATACGTAAAAATGTTCTAAATATGGAAATGTCATTCATTGGGTTTTATAAGTAGTTAGGTCAGGTAGTCAGCATCTTTATGTTTAAATAGTGATGCGTTATTTATTGCATGTTATAAATCACATACATACTTATATTACCGCCGGTATTACCTTGTATATAGGAGTAACATTCCCATATTCCATATTAATGTAAGTAATATACAACAATTCTGACAACATGATTGTTAATAAAGAAAGATCAAAAAATTTGCTTAGGTTATTTTACCCTTCATTTCTGTGCGGAAATCCTTCGGATATCACCCACCGGCCGACCGGTCGTATTTTTTAAGTTACTTATCCTGAAATTATATATGTAGGTATAAGCCATTGTCTTAATAACTAATTAATACGTTATTTCGCGAAATGTACCCTTTTTAGGCAATTTTTGCGACAAAACTTAATCAAGACGGTGGCAAACCCGGGGGTCAATTTTATCTGGAAGTCATCGTCAGGTTTGTCCTCGTAGTTGGCGTCGCGTGGTCGTCAATTTATATTATATAAAAATAATGTGCCCGGTTGATGGCTATTGCCTTTGCCCCATCTTGCGTATCATAAAGTATATAATACCATATTGATTTCACTGTTTTTCTTTATTAGTTCTTTTTTTCTTTTTGCACAACTTACAGCGGAAACTTGGTACTTTTACTACTGTCTTGTGATTCTTCTCGACACAGGCTATTGTGTCGAATCTCTATGCGCTTGCGAGAGGTTCTACATGAAGAAGGTTGACTCTTTACTGAGAAGTAAGACCGTGGAAGCCTCTTGGAATTTCTATGTCGCTATGTGGCTTATGTAAGTTATTTTATTATTGACCTTTGCTAAGAGGCATATAGACCTAGAGTTGTTATAAATACTGAAAAAATACTACACAGAGTAGGCACACGCCAAACGGATGATTGACAGAATGACTGCACGGATAGCGTAGTGGTTTAAGCTGTCGCTACGCTCGCGCCGCTTCCTACTACGCTGTATTGTGGGTTTGATCCCCACATGGGACGACACTTTGTGTGACCCACTAATTGTTATTCTGAGTCTGGGTGTTTTTTTGTGTCTGTTTCATGTATGTTTGTAAAGCCCCCGCGACACAGGATGTATTCCTAATGCTGTGTTGTTTTATTAAAAAAAAAAACTGACCTTATATTACCTTAAATAATTATTTATTTGGGCTTCTTTAATAATTAATTATTTGATAGAATGCTTCGGTATTTCTTTAATTATTTACCATATTTTAGGATAATCAGAATAGGCGCTTGGGAGCGGTCCATATTGTGGGAAGAGAAAATTCAACAATTGCTTTGCAAGAAGTTTGAGAAAAACGAATTTAACGCAATGATGTTGGCAAGACTGATCGAAGGACTTCTTATAACGCTAGTAAAACAAGTAAGTGAAGTGTCTTAAATGGAAGCAGCAAGTCTTTGCAAGTAAACCACAAACACTAAAAGAATTAAACAATAACATAGCCAGTAGTACTAGGAAATGAGTCATATTTAACTACGTGCATGTAAGCGCTCTTTAAACGCTCATACAAACAGTCCCTAAATATGGGAACACCCAAATACTCCGACATATTTTATTCCGAATTTTAATGTTCCGATTTTCAAAAGTCCGAATTTCTATTATTAAAATTCACGAAAATAATTTTACCGAAAATCATAAATGCGATTTGTTTGTTTTCCGATCTTTATACATTCGAAGAATCAAATGCTCGATGGGTTCTCGGTCCGAAAAACGACATTCCGATTTTTAATACTTCGAATAAACTGGTTAAAGGTTAGGTTAGAACAGTGGCGATTAACGCCATATCCCGTCCATTGTTGGTGAATCATTGCGTTAGGTTAGAACTATGATCAGCGAAAGAAAATATTTTTATGTTCGAATTTTGGATGTTTCGAGTTATCATTAAGTCGGACTTTTTGTTATTCGATCTATTGAAATTCGGTATTTTGAGCATAGTAATTGTTAGGAATATTTAAAAAAAAAAATATAGAAATAGGATGAATAATAAATCGGAGTTGTTTTATTAGGAATTTAGATTTTTTTCGTATTTGTGACTGACGGAATAAAAATTTTCGTACTTATGTAGTTGTACCCCTTAAATATATATAGACATACATAGATAAGTATATCTAAAATGTACAAAGAATCACAATTAATTAAGTAGTATGTATATACTTTGCACTGCGTATGGAGTTTTGACCAAAGGACGAGCATCTCAAACTCCTACCGTCTACCAGTCACTCAACACTCAATGCATTAAAAAAAATCTTCCCGACCTCGTCCATTTTATCTTTTTTAATGGGTCATTATGTGGGCAATGACCTTCAGTTTCCGCCAGATTACATTAAATGCCATCCAGATTCGAAAAAACATGATTTTTGAACCTGTCACACCGCGACTAAGTATAAACAAAGTAGGTAATATTTTGTTATAAGGTCGTCTTAATACTGATGTGGTATATAAAAATCGAATTTAAGAAAATGAAATGTTAAAAAGTAAAACCACAAGATGAGCATGAAGAAGGTATATTTAACTTGGGCCTGTTTCTTGGCAGATGGATAATAGAAACATAAAGAAGATACTAGTATTACAGAAAGCTCTCAAAGTTTTGTTTCAAGAATTGAACAAATCATGCGAACATGCCTCTTTGTATCGACCCAAGTAAGTGGATAAAACCTAAGGAAACATAGGCCACTCCTTTCTAAGAAGAGGTCTATGTCCAGCAGTTGATTAGTAAAGGCTGTTGTTGAAGATGATGATGATGAAGTGGAGAAAATAAGTGCCTCAATTGTAATTAAAATTAGTAATTGGATATTTAGTAATAGATTTTTATTATTTAATACAGGTATTTACCTGTGTGTGTGTTATCATTTTAATACTAAACCTAAGTGCTCAGTCTATAAACAGTGGCTATAGATTTTAACAAGAAGTTTTTAAAACATTTCCAACAAATTTAAACAAAATTGTATAGATTAGTAGCAGTTGTCATTCTTATAATTCAACCTCAATCAATTTACCTACATAGTTTGTTATTGTCAAGTATCAAATAGCAACACCTTACGTAATACTATCATACTATTATGTTAGGTCTAACAATTTAAAAATAAAAACGAATCTACTTTTGAGATTATAGATACTGCCACTTTATTGGTATATAAATATAGCGTAGAATAAATAACAGTTCTAGACCATAGACAATTTTCAATGACACACCGTGATAATTAAAATAGTAGTAACTTATAACTATATCAAACTACACGCCGCCACAGCTCACCGCCTATTCGGTCACGGCCCTCAGGCGCAGCACAGCGCCGAAAACTTGACACAAACCCTGTACCAACCCGTCTCGCAAGCGTGGTATAGTAGGCCAAAACCTCCTTTCTAAAGAGAGGCTTATCTCCAGCAGTGGACTGTTAAAGGCTGTTGATGTGATATCAAACTAAGGTACTGGTTGCACCTCAGTTTCATATCCACTAGTTTTTGGATAGGGTAGGATTTTGTAATTTATTAACATGAGAATTTTCGATGAGCGGAGCTTTATTCGTACGTTCCTGTGTTAATTCTTTGGCCAGGGCCGCTATATGTAGATTCAGAGTAACAAGCTTTACGATAAAAAAATGTTATTTCAGATATTACCTGTTGGTCGCCTATCATCACTACATAACAGGAAACAAACATAAGGCGTTTAACTTTTTGAACAAGGCTCGCGACTATGCTAAACAATATTCACTAAACATCGAATTGATTTGGATTGAACATACACGCAATGTTAGTATTTTCTACTAGTCACTAATAATCTTGCGCTTATTATTAATTTAGTTATTAATTATTTCACACATCTTACACATACACAGCAGTTTGATCCCAAACTATGCAGAATTTGTACTAAGCTCGTCAGACTGCTGATACATATATTTTTTTATTTATTTATTTATAAGTTTATGCACATTTGTACATCGGCGGACTTAATGCCTAAGGCATTCTCTCGCAGTCAAACTTTAGGTAGTGTAGAAATCGTGAGTGGTAGGCGTATATAGGTTATACTTAACACTAATCACTAAGATATACACTACACAACACAACACACGTAATTTTATACACAAGCAAATACACACTATACACATACATACACATATATACATATACACATATATATATATAAATACAAATAGTATAGTAGACAAATTGGTTGCTGCACTCTCGATTCGATGATTCTGCCGTCTCATTAAGAAGAAGGTTGTGTATTTTCTTTTTGAATACGGAACGGTTTGTGGATATCCTGACTTCAACCGGGAGCGCATTCCAGAGTAAAACTGCTTGAACGAAGAACGAAGAGTTCACGAAGTCGGAATTGAGAGGGGCATAAGAGAAGCAAATTATTTGCAGAGCGAAGATTCCTGTCGTGATTAGACGACAAGAAACGGAGGTAGGGGGCAAGGTATGTAGGTGAGGATGGGGAGGTAAGAAATGAATATAAAGAAGTCAGAGCTTGCTGTTTGCGGTGCAGGCGAATGGGTAACCAGTTTAGTTGGGAACGTAAGGCAGACACGTGGTCATACTTTCGAATGTTGTAAATGTACCGAATGCAGTTATTAAGAAGGCGGTCCAGCTTATTATTTATTTATTTATATATTTATTTAAATGGATGCATATTATAGATAAATTACCCCCAGCCACAGAAGAAATGATCGTGCACTTAACACAATTATTTGTACGGGTGAGAATCGAACCCACAACGACTGGCGTAGCAGTCAGGATCACTAGCCACTGGACAAATAGGCCCGCAATAAATATGTTAACTATGATCTTTATTGCAAAGATGTCTTCAACATTGCTGCAATTACCTACCTAGTTATTGAATAATCCTAGTAAGTTAAGCTGACACGTCCCACTCTACTCTCTTCTAAACCTCTCCCAGTTCCGTTCCGCCATCTCCTTCGCAAGCATAACTTGCTTGTCTTGCAGAAGGAGACGGCGGAGTTCCACGCACTCTCGGCACCATGGCGGCAATCATGTTACCGAGCGAGAGTTCCCATTCCAATGGCCGCCACGAGGCCGCGCCTCTGCTCAACCCACGCCGGGCATTCTGCCAGCGTGTGGAGCGCCGTGTACACAGTCCGGCCATCGCAGTGGTGGCACTCAGGCGTTGGCTTCTTGCGGATCAGACACAGGTGGTCTCCGAAGCATCCTTTACCGGTAATCACCTGTGTCAACCGGTATGAGAGGGTTCCGTGATGCCTCTCGAGCCAATCCTCCATAACGAGTCTTACCGCCGCGATAACGGCGTACCCAACCTAAACAGTTACCCCAAAAAAATTTTTTTCATTCTAATGTGTCTGTTTCCACTAGCTATAGCACAGGAAACTTGCTTAGGCCTTAAATTGCAATATGCCATTTGACGATAAAAGGTTTAAAATAAAATAAGCATTAAGCAAATGTAGCTAACAGCAACCTTAAATATAGTATCAAGCTGTCCACGTTTAGGTTTTAATTATACTGTTTCTTGATAAAGGTCAAAGGTTCAAAAAGAAGCTTGTTGTTCAGGCTGCAAATAGACTGCTAAATTAAATTGACCTATTTGTCCAATTTATACTAAGACTAGGTTGGTCATTACGTCGAAATGGAATGGAGTTCATGATTACAGCTGACTATTTGCTGTGGCAAACTAACATTATCATTAGCTGTAAAAAGTTATTTCTTCTTGTGTCCTCTTACCACAGTTCATAAAAACTAGAAATTACTTTGGATTATTCATATAGTTAATTATAAACAAAGGCCTACGGGTATGTTTTAAATGATATAGAGGGCAAAGAGCATCTATCAGGCGACTCGTTTGCAGACGGGTCATCTGATAGAAAATTACTATCGCCGCCTATGAACTCCTGCAACTCAGGAGTCGCAGGCGGTTAGCCGGCCTTTAAAGCTGGAATCAATGTACCTAATTTTTTTTTTTAATATTCTACCACATTCACACAACGCCATCTAGTCCCAAACTAAGCAGAGCTTGTACTATGGGTACTAGACAACTGATATAAATACATATATACTTTTTTTTTTTTTTTTTTGTAAATACATACTTATTATACATATTATAATTAGTTTATCCTATTTATGTACATTGCGTGCAAATGGGCAATATAAGTTGGTACCTGTATACAGTTGAACTCCTTCACCGCTTGATAACATGTTTGACAAAATAAACCCAAATAAAAAAACATTTATACACTCAAACATATGTTTCACGCATTGCCGTAACACGACACATCTACACAACAGTTATGTTTTCAGCTCTCTCGCACGGAACACAACAGTTGAATAGCTAGCACTTGTAGATCGAAAAAAATACCCGTGTTTTGTCAGCACTGAATAAGGTTTTTATAAACAAGTGTGTTATCCAGCAGTGAAGGAGTTAACAGAAACTTGGCAGAGTTCATTGTCTATAAAAGCATAATAAAGCCAGTGCCGTCTATTGTACGAGGGGTGATCAATAAGTAATGATAATCAATATGAAACAGAACTATTAGATTAAAAAAAGTATTTTATTTTTCAACATAGTCTCCTTGCAAGTTAATACATTTAGTGTATATTTTTTCTAAGCCCATGATTCCCTTAGAAAAAAATTCTTTGTCTTGACAGTGTCAGTTCGTATTCAAATGAATGTATCTCCCGGTAATGGTGTCCTATTTATACATTTTTTTGAAGCTGAAGTAGTGGATATATAAGCAAGCAGAAAAAAAATAATTTGGGTTTTTGTGCGTTCTAGAAATACTCGATTATCATTACTTATTGATCACCCCTCGTACATCTTAGGATAAAAAGAGATTGTGAACTTCTGTGATAATAGCAATATTTAATAAGCACTAATTAGTTATTCAGCCCAAATATTCCATATTCTTTTATATTATTGCAGTACTGGAAGGGAAGTTTAAATCCGAATCTTCGTGATTATTGGTGCGAACACGTCGAACCAGGTAACCTGCTAGATTACAGAGATTTCGATGTTCATAAACCAAACGCAATAGTACCTTTTACTCTGCCTGTACCAAAAGATCTGGAAAAAATAATGCCGATGGCAACATCGCATACATAAATGTTAATTATTACATTTATTCTGAGACTTATAATAGAAGCAATATACTACAAGATGAATACTTCAAAACTACATCTGTTTTGTTAACGTGACTTGATATTTACCAGATACTGCTTTTTTGGAGTCATTGATTTTTGGATTTATTAACCACAATTAACTTATACTTCAAACAATCGCAGTTATGTTTTTCTTTTCATTTCTTTAAAGTAGGTTTGACAATGGCAAAATGATTTCCTCAATTTGTTGATGGTACCAGTAGTCTATTTTGTACTCCCGAGCATATCACATTGTAGAAGTAGGCATTATTTAGTTTACCCGTAAAGGCAACCATGAACTGTTTCATAGGTATAACAAGTTTTATGTTTGTTCGCACTAAGAGTACAACATTAAGACACAGTACATTTATGTTTTTCGATAAGTAGGTACAGATTATAGGCAATATATTTTTAGTTTATAGAAAGTTAATAAACTATTATTTTTGGAATTTGTTTTTCAATGAAACCAAACTTGATAATTAAAATAATTTTATTGAAAAATAAAGTTTCATAGCTACCTACTTATAAGTGCTGAAATAAATGAGGTCAAATCATTTGGAAAGCTATATTTTATTTTATTTTATTCAATATGTGGGCTGCTCATCTTAGTTTTTCTTGAAACATGTTACTACTAATTGACCCAAAAAGGCTCCGAAGGTTAAATAATAAAGTACGCACTGTCGGTTAAGATGCCATGAGCAATTTAATCTTGTATTTTTAATGACGTCACTTATTCTTAAGAAAAATGTTAAATTAATTGTTGCTCATTCAGGGTCCGACCAAAACGCAAGAACTGACAGAACATCGGGTATAACAAATATTTTAACAGTGAATAGTTTATTTTCTACCTTGCCCTCATACAATTTTGGCACTACAGTTTTACTGTATCCAGTCACATCAATTCCAGATCTTTCACCAAATCCAATTTACAAAATTTATGTACAACCATTTTATTAATAAAATATTAGGTAACTAAGATATTTCATACGAGAGAACATTAGGTATATACTTACTAAAAATATACAGTGGAATGAGATTTAAAAAATACATTGGTAAATATCACAAGAAAAATACACAATTTTGCATTTTGTAATCGACAAGTTTACCAGAGATTATATTTTTAAAGCTCAAATCAAGTACCTATAACTTTACAAAGGCTGGGTTTACATAACTTCTTGCTTCGAAAGTACATAATAGGAATTTATGGAAAACCTTCTCTATTGAAAAAATATTCTCAGTAACTCTCCTGACTTCACACTAATATTGGTTAGTTGCTGTCGAATTTTTTTACGCACCTCACCGAGTATCTGCTAACATTAAGTTTGGTGTCGTGTCGCAAGAGCCAACTAAGGGAGCAAACTGCAGGACAACAGTATTGAAAAGAGAAGGAAAACTTGAAACAAACCCTATACCAACCCGTCTAGCCAGAGTGATATAGTAGACTTATACCTCCTTTCTAAGGAGAGGCCTATGGCCAGCAGTGAACTGTTCATGATGGTTGGTGGTTGTTGCCGGTTAAAAAAAACTTGTAATGTAATCTGTTTCTACTACAGATAGCATGTTAGTTTTACTTCTTTTCTAGATTCCTTCTTCTTCCTTCCTTTAATACCATACGAGTGTGACTTCCACTTTGCCCACCAGTGGGCGGCTTGGTGGGGCAAAGTGAAATAATTTATTATATCATTATGATGGACCTGAACTACTTCACGTATTTAGACCGTCAAGATTTAGGAATATCGATGCTCGAGAAACTAGTTGAGTTGAGAAAGACTATTCGAAGAATTCTACATCCTATAGACGTAAACTCCGTCCGCAGCGATGTTTATGTCATTTACGCTTCACATAATTAGGTACTTAGTCGAGATGGTTTGATCACTGTCTGATGTTTGATAATTAGAAACCTTTTTGTTTTGTTGGTGTTAAGGTAAAAATATATTTTAAAGTAATTTTGCTCAATCAAAATTGTTTATTCAAGTTTCCTGTATTCGCTACTACAAAACGGGTTTAGAGCTCAAATTCGCTCACGCGAAGTTGTTTTTTGAACGGAAGCAACAACTACGAATGGTTACACATATGTAGGTACGTTTAGTTGTCGTCGCTAGTTTACGAGAGTGGACTTTCGACTTGCTTTAGACGTCTAAAGATTATTGATAGTCGTCGAAACCTCGATTTTATTATATATTTTGACGTTTTAAATATTATTGTATCAGTTATTGTAGGTACATCGCTAGAGTGAACTAGTAATGTGAATATTTTAATAAAATTATTAAATTAATTAACGATATAAATATCAAACCCGATCTCAAACGCATTGCTTTTATGTTGATAATAGTATTCCTAATAAATAATCAGAAGCGAACATATAAAGAAATAATGTAATTTACCAACGAATTTCTGATTAAATTATATGTTTTATTTATAAGTAGGGGAGGCCCATGGTGCTAAATGGAGATTTACTCTAGCGTCATGGAGACCTTGTTGCATTTGAAATTATTAGGTAAAAGAATGAATAAAAGTTGTATAATGTTTGCACTTTCACCGGTGGGCAAAGCTTCTACAGTTATTCAAAAATGTAAGGGGAGGAAATCGAAAAAAAAAAATTAGGGTGTATCAGATATTTTAGGGATACTTATATCATTTAGACACGAAAATGCTCCCGCCCTATATGTAGGGCTCATGAATGGTGGAGGTAGGTACTCAACTGTATTCCTCCTCAAGCTAATCTGCCACACTCCAGTAAATCTCGAAATCCCTTGTAGGGTTCTCCTACTATTATGGTAAGTAACTTAACGTCTATAAAGATGTAGATTACAATAAATGTGTTGTATTGTTACAACATATGTGGATAGTCGCAGCCTTATTTCAAATTTCTACTTTAGTGATTTTTTTAACTACTTCTAAAAAGTTAAATAATTAATAAGCATGTGAATTAACAGCAATGCTCAATTATGAGTAAACTACGAATGAAGGAATATAACCTTTAAAAGAAACAAATTAGTATTCAAGGTTTCTGCTGATCACATGTGTCTAATGCAAACCATGGCATGGCAATTTATTCCAGCCTTTCATACGAGTAATATTAAATATTGTATTGAAGTCTTAAGATTGATGCCTTTCGCTTTACTTATGGAATTGAGATGTTATTTTAGAATGGTATATAAGCTAATTTAAATGATGTTTTTTTAGGTATAAATATAGTTTAAGGTAGGGAGATCTTAATCCAGATTCCTTATGTATTAAAACAGTTTTGGCTTAGAAAACCGTGACTAAACAGCGCTTGCATGGTGTTACATTTCTGTTAGTGAGGTCAGAGCTCTATAGGTTCATAGGTCTGTCAATCCGAATTTAAAAGTATATATATATATATATTCTAGCAAAATATTATATAATATTTACGTAATTTAACATCAACTCAGCGGTGAGAATTTGACTATAAAGATAGATATCAATTGCAAGCAATAACACTATGTACCTGACAGCGGCACTTAAGCAGATCAAATGTTTTACGCTTCTGCTACTTCGCTCTGCTTAATTTATTCAGATTGAATTTATCGAATCGGTTAATTGGGTCATATTCTAGCAAAATCTTGAGACATAGACTGACTCTCGTTAATCAGGTTGTACCTACATCGACACGAGTGTCTAAGGCAGTATGCAGTAACGCAAACCTTGTCTTATTTTGAATTCTAAACGACGTAACAATATAACGGTTTTTATTGTAACAATGCCTACAATATTTCACCCTTAGCAAAGCCAGGCGTAAATATCGGTGCGTTATCGGTGGCATATATTTTTGATGCAAGCATTGGAGTTCGCAGTCTCCGGGATTTTTTTTCTGAATACGCATATAGCAATATTTCTTTGTCAAAGTCTGTTATGATATACGTACTGATTCCAACTCATTGAACTGAACGCGTCCGGCACAATTTAAAGCGACGTATTTAGCAATTCTAGTGAACTAGGCAGAATATGCTCAGCGTTATTTTACCATCTGATAAAAGTAAAAACTTCAGTAGGCTATTAACTTTACATATTATGCAGTGTATTTTTTTAGTACCTACATAAGTTTAATATATTTTCATGTGGTCAAAAAGCGTTTCTGCAATAGGTACTTGTTATTATTCGAGACTGTAACATATGTAAGAATAGTAAACTTCGCGATATCTACGCGGAAGGCATCAATTTACAAATGTGACTAAATGTTTTATAACATACATTTTCATGGCCAAACTTTCATTTCAAACAACATTCCTTTTGTTATTAATTAATGTATTTAAACAACAACACTGCGTTCACCTTATGTTTCACATTTTATTTGCTGACACTTAACATAAAGTGAATGAAAATATAATAAATACTAGCATACAAAAATCGATACATTATCATAACTGCTGTAGTTCATGTAAGTTACTCAGATTCATAAAATCTTGACTCTACTCAATGTAAAGATTGGGTGAGAGCATAATAACATAGTTTGTATATACAACTCTTACCCACTGTTCCCTGACCCCCAAACAGCCGACAGCCGCATTTTATTGCATAACTCTTGATTATTCATTATAATTCCAAAATAGAACACCCAGGTTCCCTTTGTGTACTTTATTGAAAAAAGTTTTCAGTACATCAAAGTTCCAAATACCAACACTAATTTATACACAAATAGAGAAATGAGTTTAATTTATATTACATTGTATTGAGTTTTATATGGCTTCTAAAACTGTTTGAGGCGCATATTATCTTGTTTTATATACCCAAAAACTACAAAAAATCTCAATAGAAAAAAGTTAAGAAATAGTTTTTTGAAAGCTAATACTCATTTTTTGTCTACTTTGATCTTCTATCCAGTATAAATAGATTATTTTGTAACAATTATTTACATTAAGGATCATTGGTTCATTACTTAGTTTTGAAAGTAATGAACCAATGATCGTAACCAATAATGTAGTGTTGACTGAGGTTCTGGAAACATTGAGTCTTTTCTTGCCATCCAAGAAATTTTAATACTTAGATATTTCATCTTAATATGCCAAATTAACTTCACAGTAAACTGTTTCAAACTTCTCTTTCATTTTTCCTTGAATGGACCCATCTTAATAGAACAACTTATTATAACAAAAATATATTTTAATCTAAGTGCATCATATAAAAATGTTATTATTACAATATCACCCAATCATTTTGGAAAAAGAATATTCAACAGCCTTATTGTCATTTCAGATAAGCATTTTATCTTCTCTTTAAGCCACTTTATGAAAGTAAAAAGTCTTTTAAGCACTTTGGCAAAGGTAATGACTTTATTGAGCCATTATTCGAATACTGCAATATTGCATCTCGGCATATACTCTGTAGCGTTTTCACTGAAAGCAATGATAAGTTGTTAGTTTCTTTTCCTGTAAAGAAGCCAAGACCTAATGTACCATATGCATAATTATGAAACTGAGACCAATTGATAAGAAGCGAAATATACATTTAAAAATTCAGCCTAGTTTAAATAAGAGTAGGAGGGTTAAACAATAAAATCACACAAGCTGTTGACGAAATTCTGAGACATGATCAAACTTACATAAACCTTTAAATCTTATTCAAATATTTAAGAGTCACTTGAGATAGATTGTAGGCCAAAACCTCCTGTCTGAGGAGAGGCCTATGTCCAGCAGTGGACTATTAAAGGCTTTTGATGTGAGATTGTCTAAATTGATCTCAGTGATCAAGATAGCTGATATCTCTATAATTATTGATTGAGACTAGTGCAAGTGCAATGTTGGTGACAACACAAACTTTAAAAAAGCAGTCTCAATGATCCTGCATAAACAAAAAAAAATCTAGATGGGTAATAAATTAATCTAATAAACTCACAAATGATCAGATAGTAATCAAAATAGGATACAGAATTTGTTTTTTTTTTGGTTTAGTGCATTTAGTTAAGCTTGCTCTTAAGCTTAACTGCACAGTCTCCATTTTGAACAGAGTTGAAAATGTGTTGATTGTATGCACCTTTAGTTGTTTATTACAAACACACTTGTAGTGTATATTAATTTTATATTTAGCTGCTGTAGTCTATGACAAAAGGGCCTATATCTCATTTGTTATCCAAAGTGATGTTATTTGCTTTAATTTGAATTGTAATTTGGGTGTCATGTTTTTCATTTTAAGATAGAGGTAGTATGAAAAAAATATTTATACCCTAAAAGTAAAATGTGCATAGGAATATATTACCTCCATATAGTTGAACAATTTTAACTTGCTTTGTGGTACCATAGACATCAACAACAGCATGCAATGGTCCTCTTGTGTAAGGAATAGCTTTAGTGCAAGGCCCCTGATCTTCACCATTTATTATAAAATGCATTTCAGCCATGTCTTGGTCATCTTTATTAACCTTTGTACATGGTACAAACATAACACCAATGCGGCTACCAGCATCCATTGGTAATATGCCTATAGGAGTTCCGTTTTGTGATAAAGTCTGAGGTCTGAGCACCATTTTAGATATATAACCGCGGGGAGTTTTCACTACATGCCCGTCCCCCAGCACTGACACCCGCGGCTCGTTCTCGCGTCGTCCACTAGCCACTTGATTAACAAGTTCTACTAAAACATTGTTTTGTGACTTAGAAATAGGGAAGATCCATGACATGCCAGTATTAGCGAGGTCAGGGAGTGCATACTGAGGTAAGCCTTTATTGCCCAGAGCAGATGTCTGAGGATCGAGCAGAGTCAATCCTAGTCTCATATGACCACTCCAACCGCGCTCAGTTTTTTCTATTTCTACTAAAAATATTTCCCCGGGCAGCAAAGGTTTCTCGCTGAATGTTAATCCATGGGCGAAGCTTGCTTTTCTAAATGCTACCGTATTATCCTCAAATAAAATAATATTAGAACCGTGGTAATGGTGAAATCGAGACAACATATTTTTGTATGCACATTAGCACTTCACAATAAAAGCTCTAGAGTCAATATTTAACAAAAATAGACCACTTATTAACTGTAATATGTTACATGTAAAAGTAAATCCTTTGTTATTAAATCAACATTAAAAATTAAACAAAACCCTGAACAGGTTTCGTTCGACGTCAATTTTGTCAGTCGCTGTTTGACAGGGTGACCTGCTGAATTCATCTTTATTCTACCCATTTCAGCATGCTACTAAAAACTACTATTATGATGCAAATAAGTGAAAAAAATAATCGTAACCATCATTAGGTGAACGTAAACTGCTCAGCTGCCTTTGAACAATTTAATATAGGCATATTAAGCTTCTTACCGGTCGTCAAACTGAAATGATATACGGTAAGATAAAATTGACTTATTATAACTATATACTTCCTTTTATATGAAAGGAATATGTAATTGTTGTTGCAAAATAAAGGAGCAAGTCCAGACGCATATAGAATACAGTTCTTATCGCTATGCAGGGGCACCCCAGTACCAACTTCTCCCTCTGGACCGTATCTAACGAAGAGCAACTCGAATTGTCGATAGCCAAAAGATCTCCGACCGGCTCGATCCCTTAGCTTTACGTAGAAATGTAGCTTCAATTTGCATTTTCTATCGTATATATCATGGAGAGTGCTCCGAGGAGTTATTCGGACTAATACTACTAATCTTTCCGCCATCGTTCCACACGGCAAAATATTTATCCCCAGCACCTGGATATTTGGACCGGACCGTTACGACCTTCAGGAAAAGTAGTTATTTCTCAAAGACCGGCAACGCGCTTGTGACTCCTGAGTTACAATTGCTGCAATTATATAAATTATGTTAAGAAAGATAATAACTTTTTTTTATTAAATACCATCATCCCACCAAAACCATTATCATGTACTCGTAAAATGTTGCCAAGACGAAACCAGTACCAGTAGAGCCAAACTTCTAACTCTACACGCCCTAACTCTACAAATTCGACACTTAGTCAAAAAATCTGTCGTTTACCCATTTTGTTACTGGGTATTTTCGCAAAATGTTGCACACAGGTAAAAACGGTTGTCCACTAACTTCAATAAAGCATTGCTCACTATTTCTCTCACTTTTAATACAGTTGTTTTATTTTGCGATGAGTAAATATGTTTTTTCATAAAAATGAAGCATTCAATCTACATTCAGTTTACTTTGTTAAAGAAAACTGAAAATATGCAAATGTACTATATTATTTGCTGTCTTACTTGCTTGCTTACAACTTTGAATGCTTAAAACCTGTCTAGATCAAAAGTATTTAATAAAAGGAAATTGTTATCCTGATGTGTCTTAATGTGTTTTATTTGAAAAAACATTGTTTAGCATATTTTGAATCAAATATACTAAAATATCATTGATAAAAACCTGTCCACGAAATTCGCATATGGTGGAAAATCCTTACCATCGTTGTTCGTTCCTCTAATGCCAACATTGCGTGTGATAAAATGAGATAGCAAGAGCCGATCGTGCACGTCTCGGCGTGCGATGACAGCTATTTTTGTTTGTTAACCAACTGGTTGATAGTGACCGCTAAAGAATTTTCTGAATTATTGGTTTTCTGTATATAATAAATCGGACTGTGCTTATCAGACAGTATTAATTATTTTAAATGGCGTGTACCGTTTCCGGCTGTTCAAGTCGATTGGGTGTTTTCACGGAGAATAATGAGAATGTATCATTCCATCGGTAAGTCATGCTCTTGATTTATGTACTTTCCGAAACTAAATCGTAAATACTAAACGTTATATCATAATTAAAATCAATTATTGTTAGCTTAGAAATGTTTTTCACCTGAATTTAGCGCCTATGTTGTCTTGTTTTCATAAAATATTATTTTATTTACTTTAGAGTGTTGTAGGTCCAAAATTCTTAATCCCAATATCGATAAAAACTTTGGGGCTGAACCTGCGAACCCCAAACCTTTTATTTTATAAAAGCTGTGAGTTTTTACAACACCAAACTTTAAAAATAATAGAACCTTACCTACTTACGTTTCCGATTTTTTGCAGATTTCCGGCTGACGTCGACTTGAAAAAATCATGGGTTAAAAATGTAAGGAAAGGTGATGAAACGAAGCCCACACAGTATACCAGGATCTGCTCTTTACATTTTGATAAATCTTGTTTTCGTGAGGGTTATGGACGAAAAACCCTACATTCGTACGCAGTACCGACAATATTTCCTAATCAACCCTTATCGCGTCGACCAGTGAGTGCAAAATAATTATAATTAAAATAACGTTTAATCAAGGTGTAAGTAATTTGTGTTCATAATAACAACATGAATAGTTGTATATTTTCAGAAATTACCTACAAAAAGAAAACTTGTACCGAAATATGGCGAGACCTCTGCTGCGAGAAAAGACGAGCAACGGGTACGTCGATTTTTACATGCAATTAGACTTCTTAAATTTATATACACATTATAGTTTTTTTTTGTGTACAAGCTGAACGTTATCTATTCTCTTCCAGCTCCACGGCTCTCTTCCAAAAATGGATCGCACAACTCAAACAAAAAATATTGGCGAAACCGCTATTGATACTAAACTTCGAAAAGCGACCAGATTAGTAGAGCATTATAAACTAATAGCAACAAGACGTGGTACAAAATTAAAAAACTTACAACGCAAATTTTCTCGGCTTACAAAGAAAAATACTGATTTAGTAAACATTATTCAAGCACTTAATGAGAAACATACTGAATACAGTGAGTATGCACTACACACACTACACTTATCGGGACCAGAAGGTCAGCCTTTTTCTAGTATAGAGAATTAGCTTTGACATTCAATGTGGCAATGATGCCAGTCTTCTGGAAACGCTACCAGTAGGCGATGGTGCGGAGGATTATTTTGACGCTTTATTGTAAATATTTAAATTTTATTATATTAGTTATTTTAAGTCATATATAAAAGTCTGTTAATAATTATGTAATCTAAATACAAAATATAAAAACTTTCTTGTTATTAACCGTATCAAGTATAAAATGCGAACAATTATGGGTAAAACCAGTAGTCTAAATTTTTAACTACTCGATTAAAAACGTAGTAACGTAGGCCTTACATTTATAAATTCCACACGAAAAAAGTTTATGTATTAACTAGTACATAAACATAAGTACAAAATTACATATCATAGTTATATTAAAAATTAAATGTATAACTAAATAATGTGATCGTGTATGTATACACTATTTTATCGATATAAGTTAAACACTTCACTGGCACAGCACTACTGAACAAATATCAATTGACAATAACATCAATTGTACTGTCATTTGGAGACATTTTATGTTTCGAACCACTAGAGAAATTATCTCTATCTCTTTCTGGCTTACGCAACAATCTGTTAGTGTGAAAAAGGACAACAATAGCTTTTGTGAGCTTGCTTAAAATAATTTTATATATAAAATTCTCGTGTCACAATGTTCGTTCCCGTACTCCTCCGAAACGGCTTGACCGATTCTCATGAAATTTTGTGTGCACATCGGGTAGGTCTGAGAATCGGCCATCATCTATTTTTCATACCCCTAAATGGTAAGGGTGACCCATCCCTATTTCTTTTTGTTTTGCAATACAACGTTTGCCGGGTCAGCTAGTCCACCTATAGTTAAACCGCCGTAAGCTTGGCCCTCCTGATGGTTTGCGGGACGCGGGGCGGGTGATGCGCTCGGCTATACACGACACGATGTACGAACTCGATATCTTCAGTTTTATTTGTTTGAGATTTCATCTACACACGATGTAATAAAAATAGATTTTTTTCCACGTATTATTATTTTAGTTTATTGTAAGTTTTTTTGATTCATTGTAAGATTTTTATACTTGTTCAGTAATTTTAATAAAATCACCTTCTCTTCATAATGTATACTCGTATTAAATTCAGATATAATTTAATAATGAAGTAAAGTAATAAATATTCTTTATTAACTTTAAACAATAGAACCTCTGTAAAATTAATGTGTATTACACTGGAACCAAACTACGTCTGATATTTATTAATTCGACAACTTCTCATCATCATCATCCACAGCCTTTAATAGTTAACTGCTGGACATAGGCCTCTCTTTAGAAAGGAGTTTTTGGCTAACTAACATATTATATAACGCTGCCCAGACGGGTTGGTGTAGCTTGTTTTAAGTTTTCCTTCTCTTGCAGGTCGGCTATAACGACACGTACGGAATGAATAGGAGTGGTAACACTTCGTATTCTTAATCGCTACACGTACAATCGACAATTTCTACTGTAAACGAAAGGAAACGTTCATTCCAATAATCACTATTAATCCGAATCTTCTTCGTCACTCGAACATTCTTCATCTGAAGATTGCGATGATGGGTCTTCCCATAAGTTTATAATACAGGGTCGACACATATCGTCGTAGTTTCTGTCTACTAGTTTATCTTTTTGTATATTCGTCTTCCACTTTAATAACATGTTCCACACATTTGGACCATTGAGCTTGTGTGTAGGCGGAAAATATTTGTTCTAGCTTTTCCCACTTTTGCGTTAAATTGGTAGTAAGATCTGATGACGCCAATTGGCCTTTCACGTGACCCCATACCAACTCTATAGGATTCAAGTCCGCATGATATGGCAGCAGGCGCAACACTTCGTGACCGTGACTTTTTAAAATTTCATCAATCACGAATTTTTTTAAGAAATTGCATAGCTTCTATCGAGGGCCTTGAGCGCGGAGACCGAATTCAGAAATTCCGTAACGCAAAAAAACCTCACGCTAAAAACAAAACAAAAAACAGTACCAAAATCAAATGCTGAATGTCAAAGGAAATTTCGTTAACATAATGCAGAAAAATCTTACATGGATATGTAATTTGATTTAATAATAATATTTTTTATTTATTTATTTAAAAACAAATTGTAATATTGAAATAAAAATATTGAAGCATTTAATATTTTTATTTAATAAAAGAAAAAAAAATGTTTTCTTATCGGTCACCACGCTCAAAAAGTGTAACTTGAATTAATATCAAAGAAAAAGAAATACTGCATAAATAAAATAAATAAATAATTATAATTGCATAAGTTGATGCAAAATGCTATGCAATAGCTTTACCGCGGCAGTCCCCGAGTGCCACACGTCTTTTTTCGATATGCACGGACTGGATCAAATGATAAAGTTGTGATCTATACATGGTTGAATTACATTCAGTATTATGCCTTTGTAGCCAATCAAGCATTGTTTGTTTCAGTGCTGATTTTGCAGGCTTTTTGTCAATCTCAACGTTATGGTACGAAGCGTTGTCTAATACTACTGTTGAATGAGGTGGTAGGTTTAGTACTAGCTTTTCCTCTGTCCATTTTTTGAAGTTTTGGAAAATCATGTCATCATGATAGTCACCTGATTTGCTTTTAGATCTAAATATGAGAAGACTACCATTGACGAATCCTTCCTTTCCTCCAGCGTGAACGATAATTAGTCGTGGCCCTGCGCCTATTTCTTTTAAGTGTCCCCTTTCTTTTTGTTTTTGAAACTGCCAGCACTTGGATATCGTGTGTGAAGAATTTACATAGGTTTCATCTGCATACATCATTTTTCTTTCATCCTCTCTTTGTTTCTTTATTTTTAACAGATATATTTGTCTTTTGTGCATAATATCCATATTTTCCATTAGTAAGCATCTTTTAGATTGCAACCTTTTCCATTCAAATCCTATTCTATGAAGGTACTTTCTCAAAAACTCACGACCACAATTTAATATCCCGTCATCTTTTAAGTCCTTTATAAGTCTTTTTATAGTTGGCACTTCTTTTCTATAAGCATAGTAACTGTGAATGTTTCTTCTAATAACGCCTGAAAAAAAGGGACAAAGGCCACAAAATAATTTTCAAACTAATAAATAGCTTCACCTCGCTTTTATATATCCTTGCTTTATTTTGTATGTTGTTTGTTATGACTACCTTTTTTATTGGATTTGACGAGTTATAAAAAATATATTACTTGAGTTATTAAATACCTTCGGTAAAATTGTCCACCTCTATTTTTGGATTTCGTTTTCTTTTTTGTTGGTGATTTAATTACTTCTTCTAAATTTTCTGACGATCGAGTTAGCGATAAAACTTTTTTTACCGTCGACAAAGAAACACTTGTAGCTTCCGATATTGCTTTATTCACATTGATATCGGTGCCTTAAAAAATAAGTACTTCCTAAATTCCTAATATATATCCAAATTACATCCTGGAATCTTAGAAAAAATATTACCTACCTACATATTTTAAAATGACGATGAATACAAAATTATTATTTATTTACCTTGTGTCAAAGCTTCCGCAAATTTTAATTGTTTTAAATATTTGGCAACATTTAACAACATAATCTTCGCCTGTCTATTTAATTTTTGTGACGCAGAGTCGGCAGGTTATCCATGTTGCAAAATAATACCGTGAGTAGCAGTCTTTGACTAATCCCACCCACACGCCCACCACTGTAACTCCTGTACACCAGGATCCACAGCAGTGACCCACGAACACACCGAGTTATGACACTCGGGAAGTCCCAGGAAGAAATTAAACTGTCTTGGAACCCGCAACGAAATTAATCAGAAGAAAATTGGAGGAGTTGGAAATACAGTAAATCCACTTCCCTCCTTAGCAAAGCGGGAGACAACATGAAGTAAAATAGGCATACACCCTTTAAAACAGGGAAGCACCATGGCCACAAAAATATTACGGGTCCTACGTGAGCTATATTTGATTTCTATAATATGTATGGCAGAATCGCCTAAACGCACGGAAATTCACCCTAGTTGACACAAGATCCCCATAGTATACCGCCCCCAGATGTCACCTGCAAGCTATTCAGCATTATATTACGTTCATTATACCAAAGACTACATTCCCAGAGGATATGATGAGCAGACTGTTCATAGTTAGAGTTAGGTGTTGAGCATCGACACAATGGTGACTCGACTAATTTAAATGAATACAACTTGCTCTTAAAGTTATCATGACCCGTAAGAAATTGAGAGACACAGTGATCCACCTCAAGCCATGTCCTCGACAACAGTTCGCGAACAGATGGAAAGAATTGGTAAAGATGGCGCCCCTTGGATGATTCGTACCAGCGTTGCTGCCATTCGTCTATGGGGTCATTATAGACATCGGACTGCTGTTGAAGCAATCTTGTAATTTTACCGCGATCCCGCGCGCCCAAAAAATCGCATTCCATGTTTTGTCTTGAATAGTACATGGCTGCACGTCTTTGCACCTCGAGATCGACCGGAAGCACACCCGCCAACACCGGTAAAGCCTCAGTGCTAACCGTCCTATATGCCTTGCACAAGAATATCAGTGCAAGTCGTTGGCCTTGTAACAGTTTGCGACGGACGGCGCCTACGGTCGCCCTATCGGCCCATACAGGTGCACCATAGCACATAGAACCTAAGTAGCAGTCTTAAGAAAAATAACACGTACGGCCTTGCTTTCACGTCAGTCACTGCCGGCGGACAGCGACACACTAGCTGATTGGTTGTGCTTACCCCCGCCCCACGTCCCGCAAACCATCAGGAGGGTCAAGTTTACGGCGGTTTGACTATAGGTATTTCTTTATCTTAGTGTCAAATATTCAGAAAAGCGTGACGTCAGGTGTGCGACTTGGTGGGAGCGAAAAGTATTGTTCCGCAAAAATTACGGCAATTCTTTTCTACTGTATTTTTTATTGTATTTATGCTTCATTCAAATAATTGATTAATATTTTGTGTGAATATTCTATTTGATCAAAAATTTGTGGTATTGTTGCAAGTGATAGTGAACGTCACGTCCGTATCGTCACGTGACATATATGCGGTATAATAATCATAAGGTTTTAGAAATATAAAGATTTGTCTACATCGTGGTTGGTTTAAAAAAAATAAGAATGAGTGTATTAAACTGTAGAGTTATATAAGTTTTCTAGTTTGCGGTACAATCATGACTTTCATGTATGAACCCATAAATTCTCGGGCGAGATGAGTTATTGTAGTTTGTTTGTCGGGAAAGACTAAATGACAGTGTGCTGTTTAGATATATGTTTCACGTAGGTGGACATGATATCCTCACCACTCGCTGCAAAATTATGTTGTAAAATTTTACAAAATGCCTATTTACTGAATTTTTGAAAAGTTATGTAGAATAATACCATGTCTATGTGTATTACCAGATCTTAGATATTACGGCCCTCATTTCACTTCAGCTGAAAGTCAAATCGTTATAGGGACAAAATAAAAACGATCCGGCAAGATATAAAAGTCAGAGAAGGAAACAACTAGTGACTAAAGAAAAATTTAATTAATGTAAACTCAGCTTTACATTTCTATTAAGTTACGATATTTTCCTACATAGTAACTGTCCTACTTTTTTTAACTAAAAAAATGATGATTTTCTTAAGTTTAAATGTTGTTTTTAACCTACTTTATAATAAAAAATAAAGACATGCCCTTAAATTTCATGGTTTCATTATAAAATGTCTTTAAAACAAGTGACGACGCGGAATAACTTACCCCGCCTTGACACGAACAATAGAATAGAATAGAATAGAACAATATCCTTTGTTTCCTGATTTTATATCTTAAAGTAAATTATAATTACATATTAATATACTTCGATTATTCTTTGATGTAATACTACAAAAAATAATTATATATTTTTCTGAAATTAAAAAAAAAAACACCTTCGTCATGTGCCCTACAAGAACCTATGTATATCTCTTAAGGATAACATACTATATCCATTTTAATACTTAAAAAAAAATGGGCAATTATAAGCCACATTCGGCTTAAACCTTATTTCAATTAGTTTGGCTGTTATATGCCAAGACGTGTCCCGGTGTAGTTGTATCGAAAAAGTAAAATAATATGAATTTTAAACACATTGAAATATGGATAAAAAGAACTTGATCAGAAATAAAATACCTTACCAAGCCGTACCGTGTCGCGACGTCAGTCAGTGCTGGCCCTATTAAGTGGCTGGGCTTTCTGCGAGATGTCACGACGTGCCGCGGTATGCTTTTGCATGCTGCATCATACCAAAGCATCCTTCGATTGCAGAAGGTGTCCTTCTTTCGTGCCGTGCCTTGCCTCGACGTAAGTCAGCTCCGGCAATAATACCGCAACGACCAAGTGTAACCTAGAAAGGAAATCCCTGATACCCCGACTGGCCCCGAGTCATTTA